ACTCAAGGAAATTAGTTAAAACACTCTTTCCAGACCCCAGCATAAGTCACAGTCCAGGACAAGAATCAAGCATTAAAGCTATTGCTGTATCTGCCTACCTTTCTCACCCATCAAATTTTCACACTGGCAATAATTTAAAATGACAGAGAACCTGAGCCAGCATGCTGACACACACAGAAGAAAGGAAAGCTCCCTTAGCACCCCCAGAAAAGTGAATACGCATGTAAATTCTGCACACACACTGCTAGACAGTGAAAACTCTGAGAACAACAGAGATAATCTTCTACAGGGCTGAAGCAGACAAGACCACAAAAAAATAAAAAAACAACAACCAACTTTAAAAATATAATTTATCATTTATTTAACAGCAGTGTGTTAACCTCCAAGTGAAAAAGATTTTCCAGTTTCTTTCATTGTAGTAATTCCAGAAGGAAACAAGTAGTTTGAATTATGGTTAAATCTTAAACAAAACAAAACAAAATATCTGATGTATCAATATCATGGTCAGTTTCATAATTTAAAAAATTATCATTTAGCATGCTCTCTCACTTTTCTGTACTGATGGCAATGAGGTTCTTCCTTCCCAACTCCCCCTTGTTCCTCCTACAAACCCCTGTTTTTATGAAAAAGATTGATATAAAGTTTGGGAAAAAAAAATTTATATACACTTATACACTACTTTGGTGAATCACACCAAAGTAGTCTATTATCCAGTTTAAAAAAAATTGAAAAAAAAATCACATAACTTGGTTTCAAAATGAACATGGATCAAAGACAGAAGGGAGAAGAAAACTATTAGAAATCTGTTGTCTCAACGAAAGCAAGGATTTTTGAGTTGATTTTTTCCATGATGAAGTTCTTCCCAACCTGACTAAATCCTGAGCCACTTATTTATTTGGTCAATGCAAAAACATTAATTCTATGAAAAATTTCCTTCTGAAGCTCGATGTGCCAGATATTCTCGTAATATATGGACACACAGGAGCAAATCCCACAGTACTCCAACCCTCAGGCCTACCCTACACTTAGAACTGTTGTGAGGACAAGCACACAGAATGAATGAAGTGGTCCTAAAGGTGGACATAACTTATAAGGACTAAACAACACTCCTGCTAATTTCAGTCCCCATCCTAAGTGAAGCTGCAAAAGCAAAAGTACGGGTGCTAGCATGCAAAAATATCATCTGACACTTCTGTCATACTCACAGATTGATTTTCATGCCTGTCCCAATTTAATGAAACTTGGTGCAATTGAAGTTTGCAACTTAAAAAGAAAAAAAAAAACCTATTTGCTTCACAATGAAGAACAGATCTCAAACTGCAGAGATCATGAATGCGTTTCTATCACACGAGTACCTGAGTATGCCATTGGAGATGGAAGAACACTTTGCAGTTAAATATAACAAACCAAAGAAGAACAGTGATATTAAAAATTCAGTAGAAAATATATGCCCTATTCCTCCCAGTTTGTGAGGCACGTTGCAGCATCGCTCTTTGACCAATTCACAAGTGCCTACCTTTTTGAAGGATTTATGCTACAAACACAAGCTGATGGGTTTTTTCCTATGGAGTTTTTCCTTTATGCCAATGACACTTTGTGGAGAAATTCTGAATTGCATTTACTGAAAAAGCTAAAACTTGTTTTTGTGCTCAACTCCACATCAGCTACTTGCCCTGAAAACAATCAGACTACTCACATACAAAGCAAAGCTTCTGCATAATCTTTCCTAAGTGAGGGCCTAAGAAGGCAAAGTTAGACAGGTTTGTCATACAGCCCACATGCATGAATACGTACTTTGTGCTCCCTGGGTAACATACAGTAGCCTCATTAAAAAGGAGAGGAAAAGAAAATAATTATAAACCACACAGAACAGGCTTTAATTGTTTTCAGACATTAAGCAAAAATATTCTGGTATATCACTTACTGTGTTTTACTCTATAGTTAAAATATTTCATAAAATTCAAAGGTTTTATGTATAACTATGTATTTATATAAAATACCTTTTTTAAGTATTTCTCTTTAGTACCTCAGAATGCAGAAGTAACCTGTTACAACAATCAGAGCTAAAAAGAAAAAACAAACGTAATACGAGTTACTGCTCTAGCTGAAGTCAATGGCAGAATCCATAACGACTTTGAAAGACACAAAATAAACCCATGAAAACTTTACAAAAGCATCAGGCATTGGCATAATTATGATTTCACTGATTTTTTTAATGGGGAAAGAAAACCCTTTCAAGCTTTAGAAGTTCAAAGACCACTGCTCTATCCCTCTTAAACATAACCTGGGAAAAGTGAGGGTGAAATGGTGATGGAAGGTTTCCCTCCCAGTTAATTCAGCAAAGATTAGCTGAACGAAACTACAAAGAACTGCTTTTGAAATTTCCACTGTGTGCAACATTCTTAAACAAGATACCTCACACAAATATAGAAGATGGCAGCAGAACTCTAGGGAACATATTTATTAATTAAAAAGTACAGAAAATATAGAAGGGAAAATCAAGCAGAATTACTGTGCACGTAATGTTTTTACTTTCCATTTTAAATTCTTAGTGAATGAGTTGTGAATTCCATCTAGTATTTAAAAACTCAAAATCCTTTACTGTTTTGTAACAGTCTAAAGATATGAGGCCTCATAATGACTGACATTGTCCTTTACTAATCTGAAGCTTTAACAGCATGACAATTAACAGTTCAGTGCTTCGAAATCAGGCAGGCACTTGGTATTATTTTTTAAAAAAATAGGACGAAACAGACAAAAGCTGTCTGCTGAAATACAAGAGGAAAGGGTTTGGGTTCTTTTTAAATATGTACGAATATGATAAAATATTTCCTGTGTCCTAAACTGAGACACATTTTGCCATCCACCCTTCATCTAAAACTGATTTCTGTGACTCCACTGCCCACCTGCAAATTTGCAATACTTACTTGTCTTCATGGTACCAGACACTGCAGTTGCTCTTATACTTTTATTAACTGGTTTCAAAATCCAAGCACAAAAATACTGCAAAATAGCACTGACATAAAAATTTTGTAAAGTGTAAATCTGTATTGAAAACTCCATTTAAAAAAAAAATTCTTACATTCACCAGTCACTAACTTCATCACCTGGGATTCCTGAATGTAAACCTGTTCCAGATACTAAGGTGGAATTCAGTAAGAGTCTGTCCTCACTGGTATGAGTGTAGAAGTGGGGTCCCAGTTTCCTTCTGCATGGTGTGTTTTTACTGGAAGAACTCCTTTATGAAACTCCAGCCTTAAAATTGAGATTTCATGCCTTATATACACAAAAGTATCAATAAAGTAACATTTATTAAGCATTTAATAAATATGGTTATAAGATACTCAGGTGCAGAAAGTGACAACACCTCCCCGTTATCAGCTGGGAAACTCCACGTGTTACATCAGGGAGATACCAGATACCTTTTGCAAAAGAGGAATTACATAATGCACGTTACAGTCACCCTACCTGTAGCTCCAAAGAAACATACACACACAGCGAAGGGATTTCTTTTTTAAAAAAAATTAAATAGTTTCACTGCTAACAGCTGGAAAACAGTCTTTTAAGAAGCTGAACATACAGATGGCAGTTTTATAACTCAATCCAAGAATACCCAGGAGCCTCTCCATGTAAGAACAATGACTGTAAATGGACCCTATGGACTGAAAAGCAAATATTAAAAAGATATAATCAAATATTATCTGATACCCTTCCAAGCTGCTTTTGGTTCTGCCCGCTATTTCAAATGCAGGTATCCTCCACCTTTTTGTTTACTTGGCCTTAGAAATACAATATAAAACCAAGCCATATTAAGAAGCAATATCCTGAACAGATTAACGAGGCTCCTGAACACATCACTTGTACTTACAGAAAGACTTTATTTTGGCAATAAGATTCAAGAGCCTGAAGTTAAACTGCAACCCTTTTCTGTAGGGAGGAGGAAAGGTAACAAACAAGGTTTAGGGGCATATTCCTCCTTTCCACACAAACACGTTGTTGTTTGGAATGGGGTGTGAGGAGTTTTACCGTCATCACAACAGTCACAGGCTGAGGCAACCATGAAGTGAGTGTTGATGCTGGAATGGAAACACCTCTGTTCAGCGCTAATCTGTAGTACCAGCAAGTGATTCACTACAAACACTGTGACACATCGTGAGGAGCGATGAGTTTTGTGTCCTCCCTGGCATTCACCTCTTCCAAGTGAGCTGCCTCACAGCTGTCCCAGGGCCTGGGTGGTCACAGAGGGTACAAACGAGCAAAGGGGATGAAAAAGCTTTTTTGTTTATTTATTAATTAAAAACTGAAACTCTCCAAGTTGAAGAAGACATTTTGTTCACGCACCTTGAGAGAAGAGGGCACATGTTCCCCGTTTCTGATAAATAAAAGAAGAAGGAAGGCGAGAGCGGAGGCTTTGGAGGGTGGGCTTCACACCCACCACCCCGGAGACCTCCCCACAAAGAACAAGCAGCACAGCAACGAGGAGAAAGAAGAAAAGCAGCGAGAGGCCACGGCTGTGCGGCGGCGGCTTGAAAATTTTACCTGGAAATCAGCCAGTATCATCTCCCGGTCCATGTTGGACGCCATTGCAGCCAGCTGCGTCCCGGCTCTGCTCGGACCCGCGCACCTGGAGCCGCTGCCGGCGGGGAGGACGGGGCAGGGCGGCAGCTCAGGAGCTCATGGAGGCGCCGCGCTCCGCTCGGGCTCCCGCGGCGCCCCCGGGCTGCCCCTCCCGGGGCGGAGGAAGGCGGCAGGGGAGGGGAGAGCGGCGGGCCGGGCGCGGGGCCGGGAGCGGGCAGCGCTGCCTCAGCCGCGGGGCCGGGGAGGAGGAGGAGGAGGAGGAGGAGGCTGAGGAGGAGGAGGAGGCAGCGCCGCTCCCCGCCTGCCTCCACAGCGCCTGTGTCGCACATTTTGCCTGTCATTGAGGTCGCAAAGAGGCGCTTTGCGGCCGGCACGTGATCGCCCGCCTGTCAAGCGCTGTGAGAGAACCGGGGGCGGGACCGCGCCGGGACCGGGCACCACGGGCACCACGGGCACCACGGGCCCCGCGGGCCCGCGCCCAGGGAGCGGAGCGGAGCGCCCAGGCCCGCGCTGCCCAGCGGAGGTGCCGCCGGTCCGCCCGCGCGGGGCCCAGGGAGCGGGCACAGCCCTCGTCCCGTCCCGCCGGTTGGCGGCTCCCCGGGCCCGGCGGCGGCGCGGGGTGTCCCGGCTGGGCTCCGCCGCCAAGTGCGGCCTAAACGGGTTGGCGGGGACCGGGCTGTGGCCATCCCTGGGCGGTGCGGGGAAACAAGGGCCGGAGGGCGGCCTTGCCTCTCCGTCCATCCGTCCCTGCATCCATCCGTCCGTCCATCCCTCCCTGCATCCATCTCTCCCTCCCTCCATCCATCCGCGGTGCCATCGGTGAATGCCGCGATTCGGTCCCCGTCCCCCCCGACAGCCCGTACCGTTGTGCCCGCCGAGTGACCCGACCCCACCGGGCGGGGGGCGCGCACAGGGCCGGGGCTCGGTACAGCTCGGTGTTTTTCCCCTCGCCGTGTTCCGACTAATCACAAAAGAAGGAAGTGCGTTTTTCCACAGGTTTTTGAGCCGACGGACCCGTGATCTGCACAGCGGCCCTTGCTCAGGCTTAGCACTCCAGCACTGTAAGCTGCAATTCTATTATATACCGCAAATAAATCTGCTTTAAGTGATGCAAATCTAACTGTAATTAATGTTAAGTCTGCCTTCTACAACCTGATGCAGTTCACCTACCCCCCTCCTGACATTAAGCACGCATTTGGACGCCAATTTGCTAATTAGTCCAACATGTTTTGCTGTGCTTTTTGTAGGAGCGTCCTGTGAGTGTCGCAACTATCTGAGGTCACAGAGGCATCGAGCAGCTTTCGTATCAGCTAATAAAGCCACACGATGATACCTTTGAATCAAGATATTCCGCCGGGTTTAGGGAACACGGTTCTTTTATTGGGTTTTTATAGAGTTACAGGCGATTTTCCCGGACCCTCTGAGCTTCCTGCCGCCGCAGCCGGGCTGGCCCCGGGCAGAGCTGCGGGGGGAGCCCGGCGCGACCGCCCACGGTGGCGGGGCCTGTCGCGGGGAGCGACCGCGGACACACGCTAAGGGCCGACAGGGGGGGATGAAAAGTTAAACTGTACCTTCAGGAGAGTCCGCGTTCCCAAAGAAAAACCCTGGGAATTGCTTAGAGCCTGTCTGCGGGCGCTGCTGGGGGGCGCGGGCTCCAGGGCGCCGGAGCTGCGCGTCTGTCGGCGGTGTTGCGGGTCCCCGGGCGGGCGGGCGGACGCCACACCGAAACGCCACTTGCGATGCAACACCACGGCGTCAGAGAAGCTGGGTTTTTTATATTTTATCGTGTTGCTGCTCTAGTTTATGTTGGCAGGGCTTGCCAAGAGGGTTTTATTGCCCGCTGACGTTAGCTTAACAATTCGAGCTCCCCACCGACGACCGGAGGGATGATAAATTAATTGCCCTCACACCTGCACGTTTTTTTTTTCCCAGTTCTATGTTACAGACAGTTCTGTAATAAGTACAAGGTATGGTGCAATGCCAGGTACAGCCTATGCTAAATTACAAACAAATCCACCCACACATTACTAGAGAGTAACTATAATAAAGGCTGAAAAGCAAGTTTTAGCAACTGGAGTAAGGCCAATTAATTCCTGGCACGAATTGAAGCTATAGGTATGTTGTCAAGATTAGTTACACGACGTTCACGTCTATTACAGTCATATTTTAAATAATGATATCTACATTAGATCAAAACAGGAAGGATTTGATCCAGAACGTGAAGAGAAGGTGAAAACCTGCACATGCCCCACGTCGCAGGAAGTTCACGTTCAAGTCACAACGAAAGTTTCTATTCCCCTTCTCACCTTCTCACAACCCCTCGCTGCGAGCCACTCGAGCTGTGTTGTGTTCTTCAAAGAGTGTTAGACAAAGTAGGGAGCTGCTTATCTTACTCCTTGTAATGCTCGCCGATAAGATCTCCCTCCAGAAAGTGTTTTTTTCTGATGATTCTGGAGCCCACTGGGACAATTCTTTTAGTTTTAGGGGGATTATCTTCGTCATTCACGAGACGAAACGATCAGGACTAACGAGCTACTTTCTGCAAAGACGTTTGACAGAGCCCCGCGGTAGAGGAGGCTTCGCGGCATTTTCTGGCCGGGCAGTTTGACTTGCAGGAGGCCTGCAGCACTCCAACTACCCTCTACTTAATTATTTTTGCTATGTGGTGTGATTAACAGAAGATGCGAACTTTATTCTGAACTGTAAACCAACAAAAAATAATGTGAGACTGTTGTAAGACTTGCAGGTCTAATTTTGCAGTAATTTAGCAACAGGGAACACCACCAAAGCCTGTGGATTTTAGTAGCGATTAGTCACAAAATAAAGTCACTTACAAGCCATCTGAATGAATAATCGAAGTGTTGCATATAAATTCCTTCCTTATGCAGAAAAGCAACTATATTTGAATAAATAAATTATATTTGTGTGTATATATATTTCTAGAGCTAACTTTGAGGGAAATTATAATTCATATTTTTCCTTACAAAACTGTAAAAAAAAGGAAGGAAAAGCGCTGTTACTTCAGGACGAGAATTATCACAGTGAGGCCTTTAAAAATACACGGGCCTTTAATGGGAGTGGGGGGTTAGTTGATAAATTGAACAAAGTTGCTTTCCCTGCTCGGTGTGCAGGCAGCTCACACTTGTCACCTTTGTATATTCACAAACAAGCGTGGGGGGGGAAATCAGTACAGAAAAATTAAATTGCGACACAAAAAGCAACTGACGCTGAGAGGAGAGCCAGATGCAGAAGTCATACTGGCTTCACTCAGCTGTAGGTCCATCCCTGCAGAACCGGCTCTATCTGACGGCGGTGGCCCCGACTCGGGCCCCGGCCCCCTCCGGCCCCTGCCCGGTTGCCAGCGGCAGGTTCCCCCCGCAGGGCAGTGCTGGAGGAGATGTCACTGCCACAGGTTCCCTCCCTAACGCATCTCCCCGAGCTGCCTCACGCCTGTTTACATTCAAAATCATCTTCCCGTGGCGTCCACGCAGAAAACAGACGTGCAGACTGCAACCGATGGGTTACGTGTGCTTATCAGGGAGCCATGACATTGCACCTTACCTCTCGGAGGGTTCGCCTGGCAGAATTCAGTCCTCCAAGGGTCCCTGCAACCTAAAGCAATCCGGCCATTAAAGCACTTTAAGACACTAAATAGCGTTAGGCAGAGTGGCGATGACATCCCCGTACTGTACCATCCTCGCTTCTTCGCCCTGGGGAAGGAAAAGCGAAGCCCTCGCGTCTCCTCGGCGCCCGGGTGCGTTTTTCCCCTCAAAATGGCACTTTCAAATCAATCAAGGACACCAGAAACGCGGGAAGCAGGGAGTGCCGCCGTGAACGGTCGCCTTTCCACCGTTAAGACAACTTGACATTGACCCTTCATCCTTGACCTTGTCCTCGGGGAGCGGAGCCCGCGCCGCTGCCGGGGTGGCCCCGAGCGCGGAGCCGCTGCCCCGCAGGGCGCCGAGCGAGCGCGGTGGGTCCAGGACCGAGACCGGGACCGGAGCAGGCTCCGCTCCCCCCGCGGGCAGGTGGAGCCCGCCGGAGAGAAGCGCCGCGGCGGAGGCCGCCCTGCCGCCCGCCGAGCTCCCCCCGATCCCGGTCCTCCCGCCGGGACGCGGGGGCTCCCGGCTCTAAAACCTCCTTTTCCTTTCATTTCCCCCCCACTAGGCCTCGGCAGCGCTCCTCCTAAAAGCAGCGGGGCCGCGGTGGCTGTGGCGGGGCAGTGCCGAGCCGGGGCTGCGCGGCGAGGGGACGGCACCCGGCGCCGCGGGGCTGCGGCAGCGGCGCGGCCGGGGCCGGGCGAGGGGCGGGCGGGAGCCGCTACAGGCCTTCCTGCCCGAACTCCGCCGCGCCTCCTTAAATCTGTGCCGTTAAAATGTGGGCGGGTGTTTCAACTCAAAAAGCGCTCAAATTTTTTTTCTTTTCAAAAAAAGCTGATGAGGTTAAAAAAAAAAAGGGGGGGGAGAGAGGGAAAAAAAAAAAAAAAAGAGGAGAGAGAAACCGGCTTCGTGTCCTTAGGAAACAGAAGTAGCGATTGTTTGTGCTTAAAAAAGGGGGAGCGCAAAGCCGCGGGCGGAGGCGGCGGCCGCGGGACCGGCAAGTGCAGCTTTATTTCGCGAAGTTGGAAGAGGAGGCGAGCGGGGCTGTCACTGCGGCTGCGAGCGCGGCCGGGCCGGGGCAGCGGCGGCACCAGCGCGGCCCCTGCCCCCGCCCGGAGCTCCGGGAGGAGCGGCCGCCGCCTGGGAGCGCCTGGCGGAGCGCGGACAGCGGCGGCGGGACCCCGGCGGAGCCCGGCGGACACACGGCCCCGCGCCGCGGCTCCTGCACGCCCTGAGCGCGGGCGGCGGTTCGCGGCAGCCCCCCCGCGCCGCCCGCCGCTCTCCTGGATGCTCCGGAGCCGCCGCCGCCGGGGGCGGCCGCCGGCCGGGATCGCGCCCGCCCGCTGCGCGGAGGCTGCGCGGGGCTGCGGGAGTGAAGCTGCTGCTGCTGCTGCTGCTGCTGCTGCGGGGAGCGAGAGCACCGAGGGAGCGAGCTGGGCGGCGGGACAGCCGCTGCCGCCGCGCCCGGCTCTCCGCGGGCGCGGCTCGTCCTTCCCTTCCCTCCTGGGCCCGGACTGAGGCGGCGGAGTGGGATGAAGTGGGGATCCCGAGCGGGAGTTGGATGCACACTACTACAGGAGACCTTTCCTCGGAGCTGCTGCTGATGCTAAGTCTCAGATCCCGACTGTGAACAGGGTGGGTTGTCTTCTTCTTCCAAGATCTCAGGTCTGAGTGAGTCTCCGGTATACGTGTATTTATATTACCTATAACATATACAGTATATTGCAAAGCTGTTAATCTATTTACCCCCCGCGAATGTGGCCAAAGTCTTTAATAAGAGTTACTCTATATGTGGAAGCAAAGAAATCTTCCTTCAAGTGGAGCTGCAGTTTTGCTGAATAATCACGTGTGAGTTAGGGGCGGGGTCTTGGCAAGGAGGTTTTTTACTAGTATTTACTACAAGGTCTACTCCAGAAGATTAACCATCCCAATCCTTCTGTCAGTCTCCGATGCCATGCCTGGTTAAAAAAAAAAAAATCTCATCTTTTTTCCGATCGTCAGTCACCCTAAAGAATGGCCGAGCCTTCTGGGAACGAGCTGGCGTCCGCGGCTGCCAAGGGGGACCTAGTGCAACTTACTAATTTGTTGCAAAAGAATGTAAACGTCAATGCACAAAATGGATTTGGGAGGACTGCGCTGCAGGTTGGTATCCAGAGAGGGAGAAAATATTTCATCACTGGTACCTACGTGACCCGGGTTTCCAAAAAAGACAACGTTTTAAGCAGGCTGGTGGATGAAATTCGAGTGGTTTTTCAAACTCGTTGGATGCCATATTTTATAAGTTTAGTGGCTCCAACTCCCTAAAATGACGTACTTGAAATAAAACTGGTCAAAACCATTCTTTCAATCGGGGATCGCCCTCAATGTCAAACGGGCTACGAGTTTGCTAATATTTTGTAATTTTATGGGGAGGAGGCAAGGAATGAGAGAGCTGAGATGAAAAGAAATCAGCTTAGGTGAGCAGGATTTCATAGCAGGTCTGTAAACACAAATGTGTTGTTCTCTGAAGCTTAGGATTTATCTCTTCTTCCTTTTTTTTTTCTGCAATGTGCTTTTAAAGTGTGGCTCGTCTGGGTTCTGGGGTCTGTTGTGGATGGTACTTTTCCTTTATACACTGTTTGTGAGGAATGACCTTTCTCATTGGGAAGCATGCTGCTCAGAACCGAGGACCTCCGATGTACATTAAGAGTTAGCCCTACGAGTTAGGGTTCCAGCTGAATCACTTGCTTTTTCATTCATAATTAAGACTTTAAAATTTGCTTTTTTAGATCGGCTAGCAGGGCACTGCTTCCAGTTATTTACTTTCTGATCGTATAGGGTGCTATGTCCTAATTTTTAATCGTGTAGCTGTGCAGGCAGGAGTTGGAACTCATCCAACTGCAAACTACTGGAGCTGGGAAAGATTTTGCTCTTAATATTATCAGATAATGATGGCGAAAGGGCTAGAATACCTACCGAATAGTGAAAGATGTGATTTATAAATCCGGAGGGAAAAATAAGTGTGGTTATTTGTACCGAAGGTATAAGTAATGAAATGTGGAAGTGGAGCTATAGGTCTTTTTAATTTCACACATTAGTAAAATCGTTTGTTAACCCCTCTCCCCCCTTCCCCGCAAACCATGATAATAATTTCTGAAACTGGATTTTTAAACAGCATAGAATCTGTGAATGTACTCGAGATATTTACAGCTTTTTGGCTTAACATCAAAATGTTAGAGCTGGAAAATAAGCAACTCTTGCTAAAAACGCAGGAATGACCCTGTTTTGACAATTTCGCTGAAGCTGGAGATCTGTGAGCTCCTTGCTGTCCTGTTAGCACCTAAATAGGGCATCGCCTGGCAGTGCAGGCACTTGCAGCAATTTTTAAGAGAGCAAAAGGGTTTAAATTAAAAACTTAGGCAAACTAACTTCTGTAAGAAATCAGGAGACATTTAGGTAGTTGATTTATCCTCGGGATGAGGGCTGAAAACCGATTTGTCCTACAGTAATGTTGGGCATTTTTTTCCTAAAAGCAGCTAACTGTCTGTATCCTGAATTAAGGCATATTTTACACAATGACATAGCATCCAGCTATATTAAACATGCATCCGTGTCCTAATGATACTTCTTATGGGTGCCTAATCATAACCGAGTTAATTAACCACAACAAAAATCAAAACAGGAGAATCTGTTGACTTATTTTCAATATGTATCATCCCGAAATGTGCTGTGGGTGCGTGGCCATGCTCGAAAGACTTCTCTGTCAGTGCAGTCTGCAAAACTGAAATAATCTCTCTGTAATCTCTCTCTCTGTTACAACGGAGAGAATGCTCCTATATTAATGTCAATGCATTTATATTTTTCCTCTGCACTTATGTTTAATTAAACAACTACTCAGCTTGTCTTGCTCTGTCCTTTTTATTTCTGGAGAAGTGTACCTATGCAGGCCTCAAATACATCTCCTGCCCTTATGCTTTTCGTCAGACTTATTCAATTAGTGCTTTCTCCTTCTTTGCCTCCCTCCCCCCAAGTGAAACTTTGCAAAATAAAGGGCATTTGCTGTTCAGTTGTAGCCCACGTCCAAAAAGCCTCACCTTTTATATGATTTTCTCCCCCTCGCATCTTTAACTGAAGCTTTCAGTCCCCCTAGCCTGAACACAGAAAACTCCCACTTAAACCAAATATATGTTTTCAATTCACAAATAATACAGCCTGGGCTCTCAAAAAGAGATCAAAATGTCCGGATTTTACTAAACAAAGAGAGATCACAATGCTCTTGTTTTCTTTTACATTGCTTCCATCTCTCGTCAGAAGTGAAAGAAGTGGCTGGAAGCCTTGGGGCACAGAGAGATCTCTTTCCCTGAATCCCAGCCTGTCTTATCTGCACTTTTGCTCCTGTCTGTGGTTATAATATACTGGGCTACTTTACAGTCCAAATACTGTATATAATTATATTTATTCTAGCTTGGTTTCCTGAAAAAACTTAATATATATTTGTCACCAGGAGAGTTTTTCAGCAAATCCCCTGTAGGAACTGTACTTTATGTTAAATGTAATGCACTGTAATGCTCGTTTATGCTGTTTTGTTTTTTTTTTAATCGAGATTTTCTAAACAATGTGTGAACCTCTCTAAGGAAATAAAAAAGGTTTGAGGGTTTTTTTCGAATTTGACACCAACAGTGAGACTAGTTTCGAGGACAGGAAAATATTGCCTATAGGCTGGAGATTATACATTATGGTGTTCATTTTTGGAAAGTCTGTGCAAACACAAAATGAGGAATTAAGGGGAAATCGCTGTAAGCTGTTAAGTTCCAAATAAGAGAAACTTGCGTTCTAATCATGATAGTTTTATGGTGCAATTGAGAAAATTGAAAGGAGCTTTTTTTTTTTTCTCTGAGAGAAACAGAAAATCCAATTATTATTGTTGTTGGAATTTTTTTAAGGGATGTTTTTAACAACAGAACGTAGCCACAGTTTACTTATAGAGGGGTTATGAAAGTATAATATACTGATTTTAGAGGAAAACTTCTGGAACTTTGAAACATTCCTTTTGACTTTTCCTTTTTGGATGACATAATGAAACACAAATATTGGGGAGAAAAATTTCTTCTAGCATTTATGTTTCTTAACAGACAGAGCTATGGTACAGTCCAAATATTTGTTTTATGATAATGCACAGACAATGTAAACACCTGAAAGCTTATAAAAACACATTCTACATTTGCTGTTGCTGAGGTAAAATATCTGTTCCTCAGAGACCCTGTATTTGCTGTTTAACAAGATTAAACAGTAATGCAGAGATGTCTCAATGCTTAGGCAAATAAAACCAAATTATACTTAATTTTTGTAAGTTAAGAAACTGAGTTAACCCTCATTAGGAAAAAAAAAGTTGTTATATCCCCATTCTATGCTATTTCAGACATTTATCTCTCTGAGACAGAAAGCTGTGACCACCGAAGTGATAACATCTTTCACAATTTCACCGAGTTCAGTAACAAATACATTACAATTAGATGTTCTGTCCCGTCATCAGTTTTATAGCGGGGCTCTTCTGTCTGCTTTAAATGAGAATTGAGCTCTGACAAAAGGCAGAGGTAAGAAGTGAGGAAGTGAGGCACTGCTGGAGCAAATCCCCCACCCCGCGGTATCCCATTCTCCTCTTTCTTTCATAGGTGATGAAACTCGGGAATCCCGAAATCGCCCGGCGGCTGCTCAGTAAGGGGGCGAACCCCAACCTGAAAGACAGTACTGGCTTCGCCATCATCCACGACGTAGCCAGGGAGGGGTTTCTGGACACTTTGCAGACTCTGCTGGAGTTCAAAGCCGATGTTAACATTGAGGATAACGAGGGCAACCTGCCCTTGCACTTGGCGGCCCAGGAGGGGCACGTGCGGGTGGTGGAGCTGCTGCTGGCGCGCTCCGAGTGCAAGGTGGGCCACCAGAACAAGCGGGGGGCCACCGCCTACGACCTGGCCAAGCTATACCGGAGAGCAGCCGTGGTGGAGCTCCTGGAGGCCAGCAGCTCCTTCCCTGCCAACATGGACTGAACCCCGCTAGGATGGGGTCTCCTTTGGACGTGAGGTCGTGCCGACTTCTTGGGGTGTTTCCCTCCTTTTTTGTTGTCACATTACTCTTATTTTATTTTTTTTTCTGAACAGCTGGTAGTGTAAGTCTCAAGAAATTCCAGAAGTGGGTTTATAGATAACAGAAACGTTTTAAATCCATGCTCCCAGCAGTTTCTTACACCTTTCACTTTACTCAGTACTCACAGGCTCATTCGAGTGTATGTTGGTTGTTCATATCTAGTTTTCCAGTATCAAGTTTTACAACTTATTTTAGGTCATTCATATGAAGTCATTAATCCAGGAGCTACTATTCACATGCTTAGTATTGCTGGACTTTTAAGAAAAGGAAATAGTTTACTGTGATTTCTCTCACCTCTCCATGCACCCCTCCCTTCTCTTCCCCACCCCCCTTCGGTCAGGCTCAAGAGTCTGAAGTCTTGTTTTGGATTAAAACATCCTTTTAAGGGGTCACCTGCAACCCCTGCACAGGCAGAGCTGGAAGTGAAAGGTTGCTTGGCCTGAGGACAGTGGATGGCATTTAGATGCTTTAGGCAATAACTGTATTTTGTCACTAACAAGAGCTTGTAGAAGTAGGTTACTTACTTTCTAAATGTAGATGACACTTTTCCTCTTTGTGTATTTAAACTTTCACCAATCTGGTTTTGAATTTAGTTACCAGAAACAATATAAGTGGTGTTTCTGTGATTGCCAGAGGTTTTAAACAGCTCAGTTTAGTAGTTCGTGTTTACTGTGCACTGCACAAGACCTTTTTTTTCTAGTTTCAAAACAGGCAGCAGAGAAACACTGTCAGAGGCAAGAAGACATGAAGGCTGCAATACAAGATTTCTGGTCACTTCATATGCTGAGTGCAGTTTAGATGTTCTTTCAGTAATATTTGCTTTCCACCAGCTATTCTGTTTTGTCTGTAAATAAACTATTTTAATGACAGATGCATCTCACAAAACAAGAATATTTGCATACAGTGACATTTAGGAAGCAGCACCTTTGATATTTGTGAGGTTAAGTTATTGCTTGCACCTGAAACACGATTTAACCATTGAAAATTTTCCATTGCAATACAGTTGAGAGTATTCACCACACCGAAACTCATTTGCCTCTCCAGCCTCAACATATTGGGAAGAGTCTCTTATGAAATTTTTTATATTTGTACAGGATCTACTTTTTGGACAGATGGGCAATTTAAACTACTTTATTTTGAATAGTCTAAAATTTAATTGCACGAAATAGAAGGGTTTTAATCAATGCAAAATTAATACTACTTTAAATAGTACTTAAAAGAGCAGAGGGGGTACCTTAGTTTAGTTTTCAACTTAAAAAAATTAGCCCCACAAAATCAGTACTACATTTTCAAGTAAAAAGTAATTTGCTGAAACTGTCTGTCACGTTTACTATAAGCTCTGTTACACTGCTGTGTTTTCTGATTAAAAACCTCTGTGAAATATGAAGTTTTGTGCTCTTTTATTATAATTTTTGTTCACAAGGAACCTAGAGATCGTTAATCGGAGCAGCACGGCACGTAGGAAGCGTGCTTAGGGAAATAACCTCCAAAGTTCCCAGTTTAAAGAGCACTAAACCAACTGAAATATTAAACCAAGCAACGTAATCCACAGGTCCCCGAGGTGAAGTGACCCAAATCGCTCTATGTCACTCTCCGTCTTCCTTTCCTCAAGTCCTGGAGGACTCTCCGAGCCTTTTTCTTCTCCATTCCTCTCACAAAGCGAAATTCTGCGCTTCCACCAGCATTTCTCCCATTCACTGCCACAGCAGAGGTGAACACCGAAAGGTAATATCCCAACTTTCTCGCTTTTTTTTTTTCACCTGTGCTGCTAAAAAAGCTTATCGCACACCCATTTTGAGCTTCATCACCATTTAATTTACGCTAAGGCGAAGTTTAAGCAGTGGCCTAATAAAGTAACTGCTTTATCAAGAAATATGCCCCGCCTAGTCAGAAATAGCGGCTTTTATTGCATGCCAGGAGTCCACGGCTGAAGCCAGGACGAGTCACCCCCGGGCCATGCCCACAGCCTCAGCGGCTGAGTCACGGGCGATAGTCTGGTTTGAAGGTGTGTTTTATCTGCTTTTACTGCTGCGTTCTCTCCGTGAGCCCCTCGATTTATAGGAAATAAGATGATAAATTGAAATTCCTCGTTAGATACTTTGAAGGCAAAAATTACTCTTATTCCAGGAAGTTAATAGTTTCTACCAAGAGCCTCTGGGAAAGCAAAGAAGTACATCAGCTGGCGAGTTACACTCACGGGGTTTGGAAGTGACAAGATGTGCCTAGCTGCTGGGGGATGGCTTTCCTCCAGAAGGTTTTATATTTACAGAACGAGGAAAAAATAATATAAAGAGTGTCTCATTAATAGGGAACTTTGACAGTGAAAAAGGATTGTAATATCCGATGTAGTTTAAGAAATTACTTTTGTGGGTTTCTGAAAGTAGTTTGGCAACATCAAAAAGTCCAGTTTCACAAATTCACGTCTTTGTGAGAATGTCGACAATAATATTTACCCGGAGATTGAAAACTGCAGCATGTAAGATGGAATTAAAGATTTTTGAGAGCTTTTATTGAGACATAAACCAACTGCAAAGTAAGTCTCTAGGCAGGAGCAGAGATCGCCCTGCAGCAGCCCTGGAATCGGCAATAAACAGTGTAGTATCGAGATGAGAGGTATAAATAGAAACAAATACAGCAAGCACAGAAAAATGTGAAGAAACAGAGCATAAAATGTAGCTGTACCAGGATTCACAGTGACCAGGCTGCATGAGGACACAACTGTGGGGCAAGAGCCCTCTCCCCTATTTCGGTTACACGGATGAGCAAAGCTGTTACACTTGACCTTTGTTTCTAAATTATCCTCGGCACAACGGCGGGGGCTGCTGAATTCCTTTCGGAAAGGGGCAGATCCTAAAGGGATCCTACAGGGAACGAAGAGAGTTTTATCTCCAGCAGCAGCACCGTGGGAGGGTGAAATACGCGGTCTGTGGGTGCTGGGGAGAGAGGAGGAGAGGTGCAGGGCTAACCCAGGCACTGCCGTGCCCTTACCCAGGGGAGAGAAAATGAGAAGGTATTTGAAAGTGAATTCAGCTCAATCTCCAGTGCAATAAGCGACTGCACATTTAAGTACAGGAAAATAGTTTCTTTCCAGCTTTCAGTGTGGGGAAAAGAATGGAATCAATGCTTTATTCCATGGTGGGGTAAGATGTTAGCTCCGTAGGAAGTGCCATTGCATTGTTCACATGAAGAAAGAGTTAACACAATAGAAAACTACCCCTTTTTAGTTTTTTTTAAAAAAGAAAAAGGTCTCTTCCACAAATGTACCTGGGAATTCACTGGGCAGCCCGCCGAAGCAGCCAGAAGCAGCCAAACATTATTATCTCCTGACTAAAGGACTGAAATTCCCTCGAAAAAAAAAAAAAAAGCGAGGGGAGGAAAGCTTCTGCATTTACTTGTGGCGTCTGTTATACTGTGCATGGCGGGGGTTGGGGGGGGGGGGGTGTGGGAAGAAAAACAGGAGAAAGAAAGACAACGAGAGAAAGAAAGATTTCTCACCGGGTCTCAGCACAGCCTGCCCCACCACACATGCATTTCAAAATGTCGGTGCTCCCGGAGGGCTCTGCCGGGGTCCCCGGGGAGGAGGGAGGGTCGTGCGGGCGGAGGTGCGGGCAGGTCGGGCGGCCCCCCGGGCGCGGGGCCGCGGGGCCGGGGGGGGCGCGCCGGGCTCCGAAACCGTTAGTTTGGCTCCTGCGGCTCCGCTCCCCTTGCTCTTCCTGTCCAAATAATTTTAAATTTACGCGCCTTAAATAACAGTCTGATTTTATTTATTTAGTTTCCTCCGCGGGCTCCGCCGCCGCCGCCGCCGCTCCGCTTCGCCCCGGCCCCCGCCGCCAGGCCCGGGGCGGCCGCGCAGCGCTGCGGGGCTGCGGGACTGCGGGGCTGCGGGGCTGCGGGGCTGCGGGGCTGCGGGGCGCCCGGACACCCCCGCGCCTCCCGCCCGCCCGCAACTTGCACTGCGCCTTTTTTTTTTTTTTTTGTCCTTTCTTCTTCTTCGTTTTTTTTTTTGTTTTTTCTTTTAATCCTCTTTTCTCTTTTTCCCTCCCTTTCCTCCCTCCCTCTTCCCGCAGCCGGGACTGGAGTCTCCTCAGGATAACGCCGGTGCCTTCGCAGCCGCAGTGAGTACATAGAAGGGACCCACATCTTGCCGGGGGGATGTTTGTGACACATCTTTGCGGCCGCTGCCGGGCGGCGGCGGGGCTCCCGCTGCAGCGCCGGGCTCTCCTCCCCCAGCACCGCGTCCAGGGATGCAGAAGCATCTTCTCCCAGCGCAGAGCCCATGTAGAAGGCAAAACCAAGCAGGTTTGTCCCCAAGTTTCCTTAAAAAACTGGGCGGCAAGGTATCCCCAAGCCGGAGCTTTTCATGACCTTGTGTTACATCTGAAAATCAGACGGGCGAAAGAGGGGGGAGGAAAAATCCACGCTTCTTGGTTTCTGTGTCACAGAGGCGAGGAAATTATCTTCGGAGGTAACGTACACGGCACATTTCTGAGAGCCAGATGTGTCAAGCCTTGCTCTGCAGACCTAATTTACAGAGCCTCACTCAGAAAAAAAAATAATAATTCACTTCTGCCATGGCTCTGAGTGGTAAAATGGCTTCTGCGTTTTGAAGAAGCACTAAGTACAAATCACCAGGGACATTATACAGTGCCAGAGGTTTCTGCTTGTCATTTTGTACTTTCCCCTCGTTAGAATTACCTTTCAGCACAGTATCGGTTGTAATTGTGCGAAGTTCAGCTTAAGGATCTAGGAGGAAGAGAACTCTCCTATGTTGGATACTTCAGAATAACCTTGACCTTTCATTAGTGCTTATCCTAAAAGATAAGTCATGCACGGAAAGCAGGGAATTGGGCAAGGCACCTGCAAAAGTACAAATGAAATGGCTCTATTTTTAAACTAGTGTTAAAATGGCTTCTGAATCTGACTAAACGAGGGGCACTGAAGGGCTAAAAAACAAAATCTAGAGCTCTGTGGCAAAATTCAGTTTGACACACACAGGACCCCAAGCTAATTTCCTCATCCCCAGATAGATTTTGTGCCGTTAGTGCAACCAGTGCTGCTGAGACTCACACTGCCAGAAAGAGTAAATTCCCTCTGAAAGAAACTGAATCAACCAAAAGTATAATCAGCTTTTCAGGGAAGTACAAGACCACTGAACCATGTTTCCAGTTGCATTTCTTTGTTCCTCTGTAACTGTTTTCTGATATTTGTAGCTGTAATTATAGGGGCCACTAGCATTTTTGAGTATTTTAAATTACAAAAGCCTAATTCCGAGTAGGAAGCCTGAAACATTTTCTTCACAGTGCAGCCACTAAAAGGTTAAAGGCAATTCACAGCTCCTGGTGACAGTTTTCCTTCAGCAGATAGTGCCTATCAAGATGGTCTTTCTTTCTCCTGTTACACCCTGAGAGCAGGAAACGGGGCAGCATTTATATTGCAACACAGCCCTCTTCACTCCTCAGTATTAAGATTATTACCAGCACAGTGATATTTTAATGAACACTTTTAAACATGGAGCTAATGAACATTTAAAGGAAAAGATACTCGTGCAACACAAACCACAATAAAATGCAATGTCCTGTAGAAACACTGAGTATTCAAAAGCTTTTCAGGATTTGACCTTAATGGAACACAAGAGCAATCCTGGGTACAGCTCACATTTATATGCAGAGTATACTGCAGGCCAAAATAAGGGCTTCTGCTAAAGTTAATTGTAATTTTCTGGTGAGGGAGGATCGAATGTTCAGGCCTGAAGTTATTAACATCTATTCTGATGGAAATAGGGACATTTGGATACACTCTGTCAAATCAAAAAGAGTGCTTTCTGCTTCCAGAGGTGATGTACCACCATTTGAAAATCTGCACTTCCAAATCAGGCATGCCAGGATGGGAGTGTATTGATCGGTCAGGAACTTTTGCTTGTATCTAATAATGCTGGAGAACAGTCAGAGAAGATTTTCAGTCCACATTAGCTGGAATGTGCACATGCCTGGAAATGGAGCTGTTACTTGTAAATACTTCCTACAGAACGGATTTTTTTAAATTTTCTGAAAGGAGAAGTACACCCTGCTAGAAAAAGCAGTTTTCTCTCTGTACATGCCATAGTCCTTGAGGGTGTGACTGTAGGTATACAAACAAAGCTGTATTTAATCTCTCTAAGGGAATTTTATAGACAACATCTGTTAAAGAGAAAAGTATATTTGTTTCATAAGCACTGCAGCATTTAGTAATATCACTTTCTTGCACCAACACATACACTTTAAATAGAGTGATATCTGTGGATTTTTCAGTTGTAATTTGTTTTAGCTCCTGTAAAATAAGGGCTGCAGACAAAGAGCTGTGCTACACTGTGATACAGTCACAGTATTCACAATCCAGCACTGTATGCATGCATTGGAGTGAGCAACAATTTCCTTCCTGTACGAGCATTTTAATTTATGGAAACATACTGTTTTGTGTAAAGAAGGTAGTAGATAATTAACAGTATTCATTTAATCTAATTATAGGCCTCTGAGGCAAAAAGCTGACACTTTTCATTGTGGTATATTCAGAGAAGTTAATTGAAACAACATTGCAGCCACAAGGCATAACATGCCCATCATATATTTGATACTAATTCTTTTCTCAAAAATGGGATGAATCTGATGCTAGAGATAAGGATTACTGTTACTCACTCGAGTAAGGAAAGTCTGGGGAACCTCATTATGCAATTCTGAGTGCACTGCAATATCTCTATAATTCCAGAGCTAACCACAGACAACTTAATTTGCCAAATTGCAAGATGGTTTTGTAATGTACACAAGTATCTATTACAAATTAAGAAAAGATTGAACACATTTTTAGCTGGGACGTAGGTCAGAATTTGAAGACAGACCTGCCTGAAGAAGCAATGGGTCAATGTATAAACTCTTAGCTCTGTTTAATCTTTAGGAGGTACCAAGTAGTAACAGCAGCCTTACCCCTAAGAGTTGTTATTAGGAATGTAATTTGTGGTTTTAAGCTATCAGTATGACAAACAGATACATAGACAGCAAATCAACACTTGCAGCTCCCAAATATATATACATATGAAACTATGTCAGACCATGTGCAGTTTCAGAGTAATTTTTCCTATCACCTGATACACACCAACAACTCAATCTTCTGGCAGCAGTGCTACTTTCATTCTCAAAAGGAAAGTAAAGCAGCTCAGCTCTGCAAAGCTTGCCTTCAGCTAACAGAGAATGTGACAGACCAAACATGCTGGTTGTGGGGAAGCATTTGTCATTTATATTTAAAAAATTGGATTTTCTTATAAATGGCAGATGCTTGCAAGCTGAATCACCATGCTAGGGGCAATTTTCAGTGTTTCCCCCTGCTTTGCCACTGGAGGAGTGTAACTGGTGTCTCTGCAGCTCCAGCAGTACCAGGGGGCAGGACCCCCTCCCTGGCTCCTGCTCAGTGACCTCCACCTCTGCTCTGCCCGTGGGCAGCAGAAGCCACCCAGCAAACCCACTCTCCAGGTGGTGTTCCTAGCTGGTGGGAGATAAAATTGCCAAGGCAGTGCTGCTCACCCTTGTGATGAAGCAAGCCTAATTACTGTGGGGACGGTACAAGCCCTCTTGGATGACAAACACCCACAGCGAAAAGGCCACTGAGCCGAACGTGGGGCTTTGCTTTGCTCTGCCACTGAGAGACATTGCTGGCAGCCCTACCTATAATTTCAAAATTAATTTCAAATGTATTTTGCAGAGATACTTTTTACTGTGGTTAAAAGAGCAGCATGTTGTACTTTAGGCACTTGAATGTTTGTTAATAAAATCAGAGAGAGGAAGTCTGAAAAATAAACAGATAATGACATTCGGTCACCTTAACTCTGGGGCTCTGACTCAAGAGATCCAGAATATTTGATAAAGAAGATCTCTAACAAGAAAAAAGAACGTGTGGCCATTGATGCTAATCATACCTGATTCTTATTCCTATACCATTAGAGATAAATCACAATTAGCACTGATGTCTGACTTAAAAAATCAGCCTCTTCTCAGAGTTCAGTCTGCACTCACACTCTTTCTCTCCCTTGATGCTCTCAAGTAACTTTCCTTCTGCCTGGCTCCTGCCTTCTCCTCCTCCTTTGTGCTGTTTTCAGGTAACTCCCAGCTCTTTCTCTTCCACACTTTGTTTATACATCTCTCCATTCCCTGGCTCCTGCTTTCTTACACACTTCATACTCTATTTTCATCTCCTAGTTTCCTTTCCTTCATCTGCATGTTATTTTCTTTTCCTTCATCTGCACCCTCTTATTTTTTCTTAATTATTTCCTCTGGTGTCTTATTTCTATCTCTGTTATGCTTATTAACCTCCTTACCCAATATACCATACTCTTTCTCATTTCCTAGCAGAATCTCTTTGTGTAGATATGTACAATCTTCTTTTTTTCCCCCAGCCATGCAGAACTGCTTCCACAACTGATTTCTGTCCATGATGCCTTAGGAGAATTCCTAGCATTAGTCAGTAATAGTTCTCTCCCTGGAATCTACTGCCTTCATCTCCTTCTTCTTTGCTTTGTGTTCACTCCCATCCTCTGCTGGTGCCAGGCCTCCTCCCAGACTCTTCCATCTTTGTGACCCATCCTTCTTTTCTCTCTGCCTCAGCAGCAGCAGGAGAAAAGCACACAGAAGGGACACCCAGGTCTCAGAGGCAGTGATCTCTTGGGGAAGGAGGAGGGGAAGCTGCAGAGGAATCCTGTGTGGTCCCCACTGCCTCAGGCACAGGCCATACCTGGCTGCTCCCCGAAAAAGCAGCTCATGGTGCCTGCAGGCCATGCAGCCAAGGAACACACAGCAGGATCCATCAGCACGGGATGGTCTTTGGAAAATTTAGCTGCCAAATGTGAACAATTCTTAACTGATCATGCACAAACTGAAATTTTATGGAGTCTTATAACTTATGGAGTCTTATAACTTTTTTGCATTTGGATGCACATCTGTGAAACCACAGCGATGGTGCTGCCAAATTCCAAGTTGCTGCTTAAAAGGTACATGGGTGAAACTAGACCAGTGATGGTGTTCCATTTCAAATTCCTACTGTAATGGGGATACCGACACTTCTGAATGAAGCAACCAGATGATTATTTTTTAATATGGGCAAAATATTTTTTTAACCTTGTTCTTGAGAATTACTACAGTGGTTTAGCTAGCAACTGCCAAAAATTAAACCTGAGGCAGATGCTTGGCTTGGAGAATACCAGCCCAAACAGTGACAAGCAACTGAAAACAAGGTGTTATTATGAAACACTGGACAAGGTTAAACAGAGCAGTTCCATGACTTTGGCCTAAATGTGGAAGACTTTTAAGTGACCTGTAATGAATTTCGTACTAAAAACTATGTTGAAATAAGCAGAATATAGTCAGATTTCACATTTTTGGGTGAAGATATTTCCTCTGAAAATAAAAGTTAAAGGAAAACAAATCCAGAGTGCTCTGATGTGAAGAGGGACAGGGAGGAGTGTGCTCGACTGAGACTGGGAGCACTGGGACTGAGTGCTGGACCAGTTTCTTTGGCAACAAAAACTTGAAAGATCTACAGAAGTGCAGAAATAAATGATCCAAAAGTATTCTGTGAAGATGAAACTTTACGGAGACAGCAGAGGGAAGGGGGGAAAGGAATTGCTTCCGGTGGGAGAATCAAAGCAACAGAAAGGGAAGTCCAAATATTTAGTTAGCTTCGGGGTTCTTAAATGCCCTGACTCTGCTCTGCATGCGCTGATGGATTAAACCCACGGAGCAGAGCAGCTACCCTTGTTCCCACACCCTCGTTAGTGCAGTTTACCATCACAAGCCCCAGGGAGAGCACAACCTAACAGCCCCCAGAAGTGCTCCACGTGTCTCAGAGTTGGCCGTTTGCCTTCGTACACCAAACTGAACGCTGAGGCAGCTCAGGAACTGCTCCAGATGTTGAAACCTCCGTTCCATGGCAGCAGCGATGGCTGTTGGAGCGGCCGGCAGGGCAGCTGAGGGCATTACCTGTGTCAGTCATCTGACTGACACGCTCTGCTGCCTCCCCGCCAGAGCCTTCCAGAGCAGGTTCACAGCCAGAGTTACAGCAATTACCACCCAGTGCTATTTGGCATTGAAAATTGTCATCCCATTTCTCTGCTGTGGATGGAATTAAGAGAGTCACAGAAACTTTCTAATATCCAATGAAATGTCTGTTGATTTGCAAGTACAAACGTTTTGTCTATAAAATTAATACTTCTAAATACTTTTAGCAGATTTAGTGTGTTGTCTGTCACTTGACTGTCTGTTTACCCAAAAGATACGTCCTAGTTCGAAAAGAAATTAATTCAGGAAGTCCCGTGGCCTTTGTTTTGCAGGAGGTCAGAGGAGGTGAAAATGGTGGCCCCCCCAGCCATTTCATCTCTATCAGTCTGTTTGTCCAGGATTTTAACAGCAAAGCTACGCTAGTGGTGTAAACTTTCTGTGCAGTTAAAATATTCTGAAATGTCTTGCATAGCCCATGTTTGAAGAAGTTTGGTTGCATTTAAGCAAAATGCTTCATGTTATACAAATCATGGTCAAAATGGTTACCTGTGATAACACTGGAGAACAGTATGAAATTAATTTTAAAAATATCATAAACAGAAAGTTCAAAATTCTTTCTAGGTGCTGTTGCTTGGCATACAAGTTCTTTTGCTTTTCTTAAATGTGTATGTGGTGTTTAACATATTTAGATTTCTTTTGGGGTTTAATATTAAGCCTGAGCTGGCAGTGCTTAGTTCTGGGACCACTGCAACACTTACACAACATACCTTACTCTTAAAGGTATTTTATGCTCAGCACCTTCTTCCATCTTATACAGTTTCACCTTTTTTTTTTTTTTAAGGAGATAAAAATGAGGTTTAAGGATAGCAGAAAAATTGGCCTGACCACACGATCTAATGAACCACAAAGCAGCTTTCAAAGAGAAAAAGTAGCAGGAAGTTCTTTCATACCGGGTATTAAAAATAGCCTGCACCAAGTCCTGGAATGCACACGGCAGTTATGTAATGATTTTTCAGTGACATGCATTAGGAAATATTCTCAGTACATGTTTTTCCTTCCTAACACCCAGTTTACTTTTCTGAAGTTTGGAAATTCCTCATATGGATGCTTCTAAGAAGTCTAAAATTATAATGTTCATTTGAATAACCTATCAATTAGCAAGCCACATAATGACAACATCTAATGGTACAATTGAAGTATTTGAATTTAATATACCATTTTCATAATGGTATAATATGAAACACATGATGGAATCCAGTTTCTTTCCCCCCCCCACAAATTAGACTTGGTTTATTTCTGACAATGTAATGATTTTGCACTGGAGACACTAAAAGAGAGAAATCAGTTTGGGTACACATCGTAAATATTGAGAACAGCATCTCCCTCGGAGTACTGAGAAGTCTCCCAAATGTTTCAGAAAGGTTTATATGGAATTGGGTACCTTTTATAAATGGAAGGACATTCCTCTGCTATACTGAGGAAACTAAATGGTAAATTATTTTGAAGAATGTCTTCCTCAGACTTTTCCTCAGAGGTTTCCCAGAGGTCTAGGCTCTGGATCTTTGCAGTATAATTTGAGAAGGTAATAAAGGAGTTGGAAACTTTTGGATTTTCAGTCCTACTGTTTTCTTGGATTACTTAATGTCCAGAACACATCTGCAACATCCTCTGCCTACAGCAAGTGTATCACACAAGGAAGGCAGATTACTTTGCTGTTTGCCCAGAACCTTTTCTACCTTGTCTGTTAAAAACCACAGGCCCTCCCACAACCTTCAGACTTCCATGGCCACCATGAACTTAATCACTAACATTTTTAAATTTTCATTTTTACTTCAAAGACAGCAAAATTCCCTGATGTGAAGACACACACACCTCTCCCACCTGTGTCACACACAGTGTCAGTATTTCCTAGGTTGCCACATATCAAGATGTATCAGAAGCACAATTACAGGCATTTTTCATTATCCAGTCAAGTCAGTCATGGAGAGTGATAGCAAATATTATGGCAGGTGAAATTCTGCCCACATTTTGGCTCCTACTAAGAAGTTTTTCCCAATTCATGTAGTGGATGATAAATACCAGGAGATCCTAAATGTTCAAATATGACCATGTAAAGCAATGGAGTCTTTTTTTAAGATGAGTAGAACTCTAACCTAAGTGTTGGGTCTGGTTTTCCTGAGATGTTTTAAAATATTTTCAAAACTAAAAATGCTTTTTTGTGCAGCAAGTGAAGCTCCATGCTGTTCTTTTTGAGAATATAGAAAAACCTGATCAAAGTACAATCAGATAAAACATCTGATTTATTTTCTCTTCTTACTGTTCTGCAGAAAGACAGAATTAAAAAATCCATATCTGACATGTGAACAAACTGTACCATATCCAAAATATTTCATTTTGGAAAGATACATAAAAAAATAAAAATAGGAGAACAAGTTAGCATCCTGTAGGGAACCTATCTGTTTGATAAAATATTTAGAAATATCTCACTTGGCTGTCTGAAATAAAATGAAATGGGGCATACTGAATTCCTGTAAAAAATTTATTTCAGAAGAAGAGATAAGGAAATGAGCACCAGAGCTGAGATAAAAGTTAGCTTTTCAAAAAGACAAACATAATTTTAGAAGATCAAAGTGTCTTTAGGGCCATAAAATGAAAGAAAACCTGGTTATTAACACATTCATTTGCTTCTAGATGCTGTTATACAAATATATTTCTGGGAATCCAGTGCCTAGAAAGTAATTTGTGAATAAGTCAATACTTATTTTTCTACACTGATACATAGGCAAGGCTCGAGCTGTTTATGAGGGGAGGAACACAGTTTCATGCATAGTATTCAAAAGTGCTCCGAGTTACAGGAAGACTCATCATTCAGCCTGATTAGTTTACAGGAACTGAAGCAAACAACATTCTGTGTTTTCTTACATATTTTATGACTATTTTCATATAAGCAAAAATCAGACTTTGTCCTTTCTGAGGAAACGACATTTTAGAGCAAGGAGGGAATTACAGAGTCTTCTTTTATTTAACTCTTCTGACAGCTTTGCTTCACTCAGTCACTTGTGAATATTTCTGAGTTTTATTTGATATATTAATTTTTCCTATGAGATTTGCTGTCACTGAATGTGATATTCAAGGTCAACACTGCAAATGTGATTGTAAATGAAAGCCTTTATTTTGGCTGAATTTAAAACCTTGAGTCTTTTCTGTCCCTAAACAAACATGGGAAATCTCTTTTGCACATTCAGGGAAAAAATTTCCTTCTTTTCCCAAAATTTGCTCGTACTTTGTTTGCAATTTTCCTTTTTTCCATAAATCTTTATTCTCTTGGTTAAAGTTGCTGATGTATCTAAATTAACAAGTCCTATTATATTCATAAATGGAGCAAACTCGAGCTCACCTCTGAAACCCAAAGCAAAGCTCTGCCACACCACATTTTCATCTGCTTTCCAGAAAGGCAGGGATTATCCTGTAGCACTGAAGGCTCTGCTTTCATGGTAGGAAGGAATTCTGGATTTTACACTGTTTGCTGGCTATGCACAACAGAAGAATAGACAATACCATCTGAGCTTGGGACAATTAACAGGATGTCTTTAGAATATTTTTATTACGTTAATCTTTTCTTTTGCTTGAGCCAGCATTCCCCTTGAGAGGAAGAGAAATGATGCTGAGACAACTTACTATTGCAAATTAATTGTATGGTCCATTTCCCAAGCATTTAATTTGGCCACAGCAACCTGTTCAACTCAAATGAGTTGTCAGAAAGTGACATAAAAGAGAGGCCAAGTTCTTTAGAGGTGGCCAGTAATTTTAAAGGATGAAGGGAAATGGCTGGCACTATTGCTTTTATCCAAGTAAAGCCTCTTCTAAACAGGGTAAGGGAAAATCAAGTGATTTGGCCTCACCAAAATTCATGCTACTTGAGACTTTTTGAAATGTTGATTGAAGGTGAACTACAGAGTGGAACAGAAGACTGAGGAAAGACTTCATATGGCAAAAGCATATGAAATATGTAGAAAAAAGTGTAACATTTCTTACTTCTCATAACAGATAAATCTGAAATTAGCAATATAAATTTGGGATAGGAATTGAGATAGGTGCATCTGCTCAAGCCTACACGCAAGGCAGCTCTCCCTACCTGCACAAGTATAGGTATGTCTGTTGTGAAGAGGCCAGTACATCAGACCTCTTGCTTCCAAGTCAACAAGGTCTGATTTTGATTTTTTACAGCATGGTTTGTTTATTCTTTTTTAGTTCTGGCATTCTAGAAAATATTTCCTTGTGTGTAGCCCTTGTCTGCGTCTACTCTTGGTATGTGGACCTCTGTGATCCAGCAATCCTGGATCCTTAACCCATGACCTCTAGCTTTCCCAGCCTGCTGCCTCAGTGCTTCTCTCACAGCTGTATGGATTTTAGCTTTTCTAAGTCCAGTTTGATTCATTCTCTCAACACAGGAACTTATCTTCAGGACAAATATTTTTGGAACCACAAAGGTATAATTTTATAGTTAAAGACATCACATTTTTCTGGGAAAACATAAAGGCAATTGGTAATGGATTAGATAGAATTTGACATTTGATCAGACTCTCGAGGACTCTCTCCCTGAGTAAATTCTTTTCCACTAGAAATGTTTACTGTTCAGGAAGCAACACTTAAAATTTTCTCTGCCATGAAAAAATTCTGAAGAACCTTATAGAAGGTGGTGTATCACCTTAAAGAAGACCTCCATCAGCCTGGTTAGTAATCATAATGATGTATCCTTCTTCCATGAAGCAGGCAGGAGTAACCAAATACTTCTGATAGGGAATTACTCTTTGAGATTAGGACATAGACATTTTAGTTATAGGGAGGAGAAGACTAATAAACATGAATACAAATTTGGAATAGATTAAATACTTGTTCTGGTGCATTTTCAAGATAATTAGTTCCCATTTTGCTTGCACGTCCTAGAGATGACTTATTTTCCGATAATTACTTTTCATGATTTTAGATTTCACAGAAGTATGATTCACAGAAGTGCAGGGACTCCTTTTACTAAAATGACCTTGAAGAACAGATCTGTTTCATTCTGTGCTTAATCTCTTCCTTTCCTGACTCCTCTTACCACTTTCAAGAAGCCAGAACCATCAGCTACGTTCCCTCTGCAGGCTCCGGGCTCCTGCCAGCTCGACTGCCCTGCAGATGGTGGCCAGAAGCAAAGCTCTTTGCAGGGTTTGGGCACAAGCTTGTTCTAAATGTTACTCAAAAATCCTAATCTGAGCCTTGGTACCAGATATCCATTCATTTATTAAGAACAAACACAGCAGACAACTAATGCTGCACTTTTTCTGTTATTCAAACCTGCTGCTAACAATGAAGAAGATGATGTCATTCCCTGGATGTGACAAAGGACTAATATTATATGCAGTAAAAACAATGAGTCAACAGTTTCTATGCCCTTGAGGTCAAAGCATTCAGCAGTTTTGAAAGTAGACTGTTCTTTTTTTGTGCACAAAGCTTGTAGTTGTATATTAATACAAAACGTGTGAAATCAAGACATTGATTTAAAATGATAATTAAAAAAAAACCACAATTTTTTTTAGTTTCAAAGAGAATGTTTCAAACTAAAAACCCAATTCAATTACCTTACAACATAAAGTAATTGATAATTTTTTTTTCCCCAGATATGCTAAATATAACATTGCAAAACACTTCTCTTTTTTAGGTCAAAACCACATTATCTATGTTAAGTTATCATTTGTATGATCCTGAGAGGCACTCTGCAGTTCCCAGTAACAGAAGCATGAACTGTATTAATGCGTAAGTAAATAATATGAAATTTTCTGGAGATATTTTGTAATGGTCTGAAAGATATGAAAGACCTTTAACATGAAAATGTGTTTTGACAGATAACTGAAAGCAAGCTGTGTAACAACCAAAGTTTCCCAGATTTTCTGGAATACACGAGGCATTGACCAAATCCTGGCCACCTCTAACCACAGCTGCATCTAGCTCAGGGTAGTGCACGAAGTGTTGTGTTCATGCAGATCTTTCCTTCAGCAACTCTGAAACCATTATGAGCATTATTATCCTCCTCATACAGGCAGTGAATCCAAAGCACAGAGAAGTGACAGCTCAAGGTCATTTAAAAGTCAGGAGATTTTGGAAAAGAACCCAGATTTCTCAATCCCTGTCCAGCACTCTGCCCACTGGGCTCCATTGCCTCACTGAGCATCGGCCTGATACAGCTCCTTTTCCAAACTAGACAGAATTTAACAACTTTGAGGAGTTTTCAGTTCACCATACTGTTGTCTATAATAGTTTTATGTTGTGAAAAAATAGACTTGCCTAATTAGATCAGGTTCAAGTGCAAGGGAATCCCAGGCCAGGCGCAGTCTCCATTCCTGTTGTCCTTCAAATTTAGAGACAGGGGAGCAAACTGGATTATATCTAGATGGGCTTCTATGCAGGGAGAACTATAATTTTGCCTGCATTGACGCTATCTATCTGTGTTTTGGATTAAAATAAGCCTTAGTGTGGAATAAATAATATTCATCATCCTGACAATTAACTGAAATGAAATCTTAGACTCTGAATCCCAAGGAATTTCTTCTGGCATGCTGACAAAGTGCTGGACAAAGTCTTCTCGGTTTATGCTGACCACTTTAGTGTGTCACCTAAAATAACTGCAGTGGGTTCAGGCATAGCTTGTGCAGAAGATCCCAGGACCAAGTGATTACTTACCCCAAACATGGAGAGCACATCTGGCAGCCTGGCTGGGCAGCATCCTGACAACTTTATTGAAAAAGTAAATGCAAGAGGCATGGCTCAGGCTGATCTGTTAACTCTCATGTCTTATGATGCTTAAGAAACTCTTACCTTTTAGACATTTAAATTAAATATTTAAGACCTAAAGACATCCCAGGTGTTTTTGGGGTTCTGTCATATGGCTGAAGTGAGACCAGGAAGCTCCTGAGTTCCCCAACAGCCACAATGACTCCAGGACTCCACATGGTTCCTCAGAAGTAACAGAACTCAGTGCATTTTAGTGATGAGGACTTGTTAGAGCATTTCAATTGCAACATAGACATTTCCACCAAAAATTACTCATAAACTCAAACAAAATCAGACAGATCTGAGACAAGACAAAATAAAGAGACTAAAGTAACTTACAGAATTTTCTCTGGGATACCTCAAGCTAATTACAAATCCTATGGTGTGCAGAGCCTGGTATTTTCATTTCCACAGACCTGATTTCGATGTCACGTGAGGGATGATGAAATACATTTCCCATGTGAAAAAGACAGACATTAGTCTCCTTTTCAAGCTGTGATATTTTTGCAGGCAACATTTCTTACTGTCTAATGAAAGTCAACACCAGAATGTACTGCAGGAAGATTCACATATGCTGTAGCCATGTAGGTGTGCTGTTCAACTCCAGTCACTCACACAAATACAAATATAATTATATTAAAGTTATTACTGGTTTATGTAATATGTAGATTTATGAACTACAAACAAAAATAGAGGCTTATATCCTAGCGTATTCCAAGAAGGCATCTTCACCTGACCTTTGTTTTTAAAGCCCTAATCCCAGCAACCAAATGTGAAAACTTTCTTAACTTTAAGTACTTTTAGTACGATTGAAGCTGTTTCCTTGTTAAACAGGATATTAGAAGTTTAAACTAAGGACAGATATTCCTATTCAGGAAAATAGTAAAGATCATACTTAAAATTAAACATGTCTTAATATTATCTTGTAAATCAAAGCTTACCTAAGCAGGTTACACTTCCAAAAGAATATTATAATGAGACTGCCATAATGCAAAGGCATATTATGAGGCATCAGCAACATTATTATTTAAAATTTTTGTGCATATGAGGTCTGACAAAACTATACTTTTGTTCAGTGTTAAGACTGCCAGCACAAAAATATCAGATCAGTAGCATTTAAAAATTTATAAAGACAAATGTATTCTTAATGTTAAATAATATAGATAGAAAACAATAAAAAGTTTTTCATGAAATCATGAAGCAAGTCATTGGGCTTTGGGCTATTTTATGTATATGTTAATCACATCCCCATTAGAACTGTCAGTAGGTCAGTCCTTTATTATATGTTGCAGTGTCTTTTTAGAACTTCATTCGTAACTATCATTTCAACAAACCAATTTATACAGTATAGCATCGAATTATTGATCTGCAACAGTATTACAAGCATGGATATAGATTTAGCTGTGGTCCAGGCCAGGGTTGGAGCCAGTCTGTTCCTGAATTGCAAGATTAAGTTGGGAATGTTGGATGGAGGATATCCTAATGTTAGACAAGCAGCTAAATGGGTATGGTGAGTGGGCTTTCTTAGTGAGCTGAAGAAATAAGGCAAGATTTTAGTTGGGATAATTTATTTTCTTGCAGAAAATCTGCCCTATCAGTTAGATGGAATTATTACCCACTCACAGCATTCTTCACAGCTAGAATGGTATTACTCATTCTCCTTAACAGAAACCTAGCACTGTGGTTTCGGTGACACATTGAAAACTTATTTTGATCTTTCTTGTGCTTTCAGATGGCAATGTATTGTCTCCTTCTTGATCTCAGAATAATGTCCATACTGAAAAAAATAAAATTAAAGTGAATAAAAATTGATGTGGATTTCTTTGTAAATGCTGGTTATGGGCCTCCCACAATGAATCAGGTTTTTCTCCTGAAAGTCTCCTATGTACTTGTTAGGAAATTGTCTGTATTATTGCAAATGCCGTATTACGTATGAGAATAAAATATTGCCCTTTAAACAGGAGTGGATGTTATCACTTCAAATGTGCTTATATGTGTTTCCTGTGCTTAGATATAGCCCAGCAATAACAATACCACAATTACCAGAATGTATAATCTATAATGTGGCCCTGTGTAAATCAACACACAGCTGAAGGCGACGCACACATCCTGCAGGATACCACTGCCACTCTGAATTGTTTCCGGTTAACGCTGTGCATCTGCAGGAGGATTTCGGAGCCCTGCTCAGGCTGACTCCGAACTTAGAATACTGGAAGTTACCTCCTTCTAGTAAGATCTAGGTATAGACACTGAGCTGAAGCATGTTTTGTTCATGAGTGCCTACATGGGAAACCAGAAAACCAGATTTAGAGGAAAACCAGTTTTTGATATTTTAAAAATATTTACGGGATTTCCAGAAAGGGCGCAAAAATCATTATAAATATTGCAAGGGAAAGTGTTTTGGATCTCAATTCAGTTGTTAAGTTACTAAAATAATGCATACCTGGGGTTTACATAAAGTGGAGACTTAAATGTATGATCTCAGATGCTCTGTCATTCCCTTCAGAATAGAGCATAATTTCTTCTCTGTGTAAAATATCTGAAAAATAAACATTTTTGAAAACAATTTTACAAAGTCAAACTAAAAATGAAGTCCAAACTAAACCAGAAATATGTCATTTTCATTGCAAGACACATTGCAGCCATACATTCAGAACAATCTTACAGGAATACTCTGACAGTGTCTCGGTTGTGATTCAGTTAGTCCAAACTAACTGGATAGACTCAGAAATTAAATCTAGTTGACCTGTTCAGTGACTTTATATTTTTAGTTAGTTCTCTAATTCTGACTTTTCCAAACAGATGTTAAAAGCAATACAAAGTTTTAAAATACTGTAAAGCAACTTAAGATAAAATTTATAGATCTGATCCTTAAAAAAAAAAAAAAGAAGTGTCAGTTGTGTTATTTGACAACTTTTAGAACTGGACTAAATAAGAACTGGACTCTAACTCTCATTCTGCATTATAACTGGGGGACAAACCATCTTTCCTGAGTATATGTAATTTCTACTGAGTCTCTCACAACCCACCAGAATTTTAGTATGTTTTAAAATAATAATATAGCAATATGCAGAAACATATTATGCAAACACTGCTATTCTTCTTGTTCTGATACAGGTCTACCATACCAAAGAGAGATTCTAGCTGGAAGAAACAATCGGTGCAGTGCTCGTCTGAAAGGTATTTTAAATTATCCCTTTTTCTTCCTGCTTTTGGTACAAAATAATGTGATGAATAAACAACTTAATTTATCCATTGGAGAAGCTCACAGAGGGTATATCTTGTATTAACATGCATACCTGTATTGCAGAGGTCACTGAGGGGAGCAGGGCAGGTGTGCAAGAAGCAACCACGGCCTTGTGGCCAAGGGTAGCTGAAGAACTAACACACACATTCAGGGAGAAATGACCAAGGCCTTCTGCACTTCAGCTCTTCAGGGACATACAGGCCTGCTATAAAACAGTGCAGTCATTCAGACCCATTCAAACAAATTTTTCCTGTAAGTTTTATTGCCTTTTCTGTATTGGGTGGTACATTTCACATCTTACGTTCCCTGTTATCGCCTTTTACTTTTTCTAGTCTAATCTTATGTTGAAAGGTGCTCATAAGCTCGATCACTTGTGCTGAACACAGTTTGGGATGGCTGCCTTTTTAACTATGACTGAAGGAAAAATACTACTGAATTTACCTGTATACATTAACCCAGCTGCTCTCACAGCAGGGCCCTCTGTAAGCACTTCATACCCCTTTGGAATTAAGTCAACTGTACATTATCATAAGACAGGGAGTTTGGCTATCCCTTGCTGTAGAAAAACTTGGAAAATTAGGGTTTGATGTGCCACAGCCACACCAGGGTAAGTGCATGGAAGCTGAAGTTGCAGATGAACTATTCTGCTTGTCAGGATTTGGGCTGACTCCTGGGGTATTGCTGAAGTGATCTACATATATATAGGACACATCCATGGGGCACAGCATGGATAACCCTGCCTGAACACACACAGCTCTTCATCAGTCTGTCTGCTTAACCCTGAGCTGTCTTTTCATTTTTGTACATGATCTGGGATGGACACAGGTCTGTGGGTGCTGCTCCCACTCAGCAGGCAGACACACAAGGGGTTTAAAATAAAAACTTGCAAACCTGTGATACTATGCTTATGAAAAAATTATTAATTCTTTAAAGGTGCAGATACCTTAGTTAGTTGGTAGAAAAATTCTACCAAAATTCTTCTGCAAAAAGCAGGTAGAATTAGCAAATTATATTTGTCTTATTTATTGCTAACTTCTTAGCTGTGGCACCACCTTGTGGACGGTACTACGCGGAGTGAGAACAAATGGCAACGAAAACAACTAAAACAGGCATTGTGGAAAAACAACTACAGTCACACACGATTTGCTACAGCAGAGTAAAATAACAAAATAAATTATTTCTAAAAATCCACTTATGAAATCAAATGTATAATAAATACTGTCATCAGGGTACTCAGTTGTCTTTGCAGCTTTTACCAACTCTTCTGCACATCAGCCAAGAAAAGTGGCAGCCTTCAAAACTGATTTTGTTCCTTCTCAATTGACTAATCAGCAGCATCTGAACCCCAGTTCTGTTGTTGCTGTATAAGCAGACATGACTTTTGCAACTATCCCAAGCAACGAGATCTGCAAAGTCAGAATCATAATGCTGAACACATGGAGAAAACCTCAGGTCCTGCTCCATAAATGTAAACTCAACAGTGAGATTGGTGTCTAAGCTAAGCCAAAAGAAAAATAATCTCTGACAAAGATAAACTGGTGGGTCTTTCAAATGCTCACTGCAATACAAACCAAACAAAAATAAATTTAAATTCCAGTCTGTTGGTCATTAGATTCCCAGAACCTTTCACAGTTGAGGTAACAGGGTGTTCCTGTTATGAACACTCTATCTGCTGTACATCTAAAAAGATGAAACAGCTTATGCTACTAAATTTTTTTCCCTTGGGATATTCATACAGTAAATATTACAGTTATTTTACTTTTTGTACTCAGTAATAGCCTACTATAAGTGCACTGTTAGGAAAAAATACAGGGCTTTCAAACTCTTAGCGATTATTCTTATAGATTGGCTGTTGTTTTCATTTTAATTTAATTATTTATTTCTGAAAAAACAAGGCATTGGCTACTCCTTATTCACACTGAGTGCAGAGATTCTCTTTCTCCTTAGACATCATCAATGTAATTCTATTCCCCATTGCAATCAGATGCATCGTGCAGACTTATTAATGGCCTTAGATGTATCTGGATGGAAGTTTTCATCCAGAAAATTGCAGGAGCAGTTACTGTAAACACAGGGTGAGTGACACAGAAGAGACTGAACCGAGTCTATTCTTATATTGAACTCAGTTTATAAAAGTATCTTATTTCTTATTTTTTTGAGCACATGTAAATGTTATTTTTGTGCCCATCACATTCAACTGATTTGCTTTTAGGAAAGAAGCTAATAAGCTGTGAGGCAAAAATAGCTTTATATCTCCATAATGGTATTTTCTCCAGAGACTTGGAACTCCCTTGAATATTTTAATTATCTCTTTCCTAAAAGTCAACAGAGTAGCATGGCACTATATTAAAATAATTTTCTTTGGGTTTCTGCAAGAACTGATTTCTTGCTGAATTAGCATATCAACCAGGAAACCAATTTCCCCAGCATCAGTGACCTTATGTCACTTTATGTATTACAGAAGTGGTTTCAGAGGGCTGCAACAGTTTAAAATTATTCCCTATAAACCCACTTATTGAACTGACACATGCAGGAGGCAAACCCCTGAAATTATGTTGCTACTCTACATGGTTTAGAGGCAGATTTCTGCATTTTCAAATGTTGCACCCACTGACACAGAACCGTGGTGGGTATTAATAGAAAATGGGATGGAACAGGCAGAAATTTGGTCAGGCTGGAGAAAATCCTGTGAGGGAGAGAATGAGTGAAAAAGCAGCCAGAACCCCCAGGGTAAGACCACCTTGTGTGGGGGAACAGAGGGGGCTCCTACCAGAGGGAAAAGTGGAGAAAGGGATCAAACCTTACACATGAAAGTTTCAGGGGGTCCTTTAACAAGAGGAGAATTTTGAGGTGACATTCAGAAAGTCTGCAAAAAGGGATGGATAAACCTGGCCTCCTCAAGCCCAAATGCAGAACCCATCTGGTCTACAGAAAAACAAAGTGCACAAGTCTCTAGCTATCAAAAGACAAGGTAATATTATTATGTTATTTAATACTTTTTTTCGGGGAATGAAAGTTGCATAAGCTTCTATGCTTATTAGACATTAGATTTAATTTCCTTGAGAAATGGGTGACTTGGAGCTAAGTCAGGCTTTGATAGATGAAATAGGTTATACATTTATAAAAGGAAAACAGTACAAGTAGGAACTGCTGCTAGAGGTGTCAATTTAAAGTAATACTGTCCCCACCAAACCCCCAGTCCCACGCAGAGACTATAGAGGAGCCTGAATCAGAGGAGATATGCTGTAAAAGCATTAGGTCAGGGAAAAGTGGTGGCAGAAGACAGCAACTTATGACTAAGTGTATTTGACCTTCATGTGTTATTTTTGTCTGAAGTCTTAATTTTGTGGTTTTGGGATGGGCTCATCCATAGCAAAATTTGACATCTTCTAATAATTATCAGAGGTGCTATTTATACATTTATGTCTTGGTCTGTCAGTCTCAATGTGACTCCATGTATTGATAAAGAAACACGTTATTTACTTACTGTTTCACTTGCTGAAGTGCAACCCCAAAATCAAATCAAATGCTTTACAATCTATTTATCTCCTAATTCCTTGTGCAACATTTCTCATTTTCTTGTTTTCCAGTGTGCTTTCCTTTTTATTCTTAGAGGAAACATGAAAGACAAAGAGTTTTCAAAACGAGGAGGATCTGGGAATTCTCAAAACTGCAAGTTAGTTTGCTGGCATTTTCATGATGAAAAACCACAGGTGAATCTTCTTACATTATCTTTGCCTTTCCACATAAATCTTGTTGTTTTAAAACTATGAAAGTCTTTTTTGAATTTAATCTTTGTTCTTATTCTGAAGGTGCTGTAAGAATAGTTACAAACTAAGTGCCATAGAATATGCAATGCAATACATATTTTGATTTTACCTTGCTCAAATTATGATATTCTCAACTCCTTGAGACATAGTATGAGCTTATTACTGAATATGTCAAAATACATTTTAATTTATTAATATCAGTACTAGTAAGGAAAGAAATTGTGGAACAAATCAACAAATAAATTCTGCACCATAAAGCTCCAAATATTAATTTCTAGAGTAAAGTATGTGATAAGATTTTACAGAGCAAGATGAAACTAAAATATGTGTGCTCAGATAGAGAGAGGTTGTTACCATCTGCAGTCCAGCTGAAGTGAGAGAACATTATGGGTATTCAGTGTCATTAAGACCCAAGTCATGTCTATATTTGTATTTTTAAGTGAAATATCACTCTGATGAGGCATTCAAAATACTTAGCAGCTCTCATTATGCCTTTTCTGGGCCTCAGCCATCTGGATGGATTTCTAGGGTCACAGCCTTTGCTCTCTTTAGGATTCCTAAATAATTGAGTTCCAGCTAAAATGCTGACAAGACATAACCAAACTGCTTCAAATATTCACAGTCTGGAAGCACCTCTGGAGATCATCCAGTCCAAACCAGTCCAACACAAAGCAGAATCACCCAGAGCAGGCTGCTCAGGAGCTCGCCCAGTTGAGTTTTGAGTATCTTCAAGGACATCAACTTCAAAACCCCTTAAGGCAGCCACATGACAGGTGCTCCTCTTAATCATCTTCATGGCCCTTTCCTGCCCTCACTCCAGTATGTCCATGTCCTTCCTCTTGTGGGGAGCCCAGAGCTGGGCACAGCACTTCCACTGAGGTCTCACCAGTGCTGAGTAAAGGAGAATAATCACCTCCTTTGATCTCCTGGCAGTACTTTTCCTAAAGCAGTCCCGGATGCTGTGGGCCCTCTTTTCCAAGACATATATGTTTACAGATATAACAGAATTTTAAAGACATGACAAGTTTTATATTTCCAGGGTCTGCTATCTATCAGGGCAATACAAACTATATTATTCTGCTAATACATGCTTTTATGTTAGTATCAGGGATTTTATTTATGTTCTCATTACATGCTTTTCCTAAATAACTGGCCCATTAAAACCAGTTGTTTGGGATGACTACATAGTGCCTTGTAAAAACATCTGTGCACAGATTGCTAAAGGTAACACTGAAAACTAAGTGCAGATCAGGGCATCTTCGTAGGAATGAAGGCATCCTGGAAAACTGCAATTCTACAGAATAGGAATTCTCAATTTCATCATGTTGTTAGTGTCAGGATCTAAAGATAGCAGATTAATTACTATTATGTTTAACTCATAGATAACCTTTTGTAGCAGTAACATCCAGCTCATAAACTTCCACAGTTTCCAAAGGCGCTCCACACTATATCAGAAGCCAAAAATCCAGTTCTCCCTAATGTATTCCTGAGAACCTTCCACTTCCTCTGCAGCTGCCACAGTGTAACTGTGGACAATCCACTTACGTATTGACGATACACAAATTTTCTGTGGAGAAAAGTCCATAGATTTTCCAGTGGGTCCTCAGGCAGCCTAAAGAAATGAGAACTTCTATTAGATTTGTTGTTTGTCTTGGCAAGGAAGAGAGCAACCTTGTTCTTGAAAAATCTACATTTAGTTCCCCATCTATAAACAATTTTCATCAGTTCTTCCATCTGCAGTATAAGTCTTTGTTTGGCAAACAATTGCAGTGTTTCTTGTTATACATGTCAAATTGTTTCTGTTCTGCATGAGCTATGATGACTTAAAAGACGAAAGTTTCATGTGGTGGAAGGAGTTTGTTCCCTCTGAATCCAGTAGTGCCTTTATTGCCCTGGTTGGCTCATTATTTCTTTGCATTTCTCATAGTCTGTGGCTGCAGAAAACAGGAACAATTAGGTGAAGCAAAACTCCTTGCCATTAGTGACATACCAGTACACGAGCCAATACACAGTCTAGCTAACGTCCTTTCACCTTCTGGAACAGTTTAAAGCAGGATGCAAAATATTCTTCCAAAAATATACAAAGTAATTTCCATCCATTTTCCTATAAAGCTATGCCAAAACCCTGGGAAAGCCTTTTGACTCCAGCCTACATGCTCAAAAGAAAACTTAGGAGACTGGCAAAAACCCACAATATAATTAGGACAATGCTGGGACTCAGATTAACATTATGAAAAGCAAACACCTTTCATACCACTCCCAGTTCTCACATATCCGTGCTGAAGTGACATTAAAATTCAGATGCAAGGAAGCAGAGTAGCTCTTCCCAAAACAACACTAGATTGGCCCAGGTGGCCACAACCTGCACGATTTTTCATAGACTGACTTTCCAAACTGCCTCATAGCTGCCTCTTGGTCTCAGAGATGTTGAATATCTTTCTCAGCTTTTTCCAATGCAGACCAGATGTTCTATTGTGATAATTCTCTCATGGGCCTTTTCCATTTTGACTCTCCATCAGCTAGGGATCCAAAGAGACGTTACTTGAAAAACAGGAACCATAAAAGAGCCAGGAACTTATAAATTAAAACATAAACATTAATTTGTTTTCCAAAATACAGATGTCTTTTGTCAGTTCAAGCCTTGATCTCTCCACCAGTTAAAGGCAGCAGTTGTTCTGTGGAAGCATGCACTGGAAATTAGCCAACGGGCATTAACTTTTGGTTCTGATAGAACTGAGGAAAATTTGAAACAGAAACACAGAATTAAAAGTTGTGATAGTAATTACTGTCTGATAACACTTTAAAATGCCCATGACGTTAATACCAGAAAAAGTGTCTTACCATAAGGAACTGTAAATTACTGAAGCTTTTGGACAAGACTCGGAAGAGTCTGGAGTTGTCTTTGATGATGGCAGAGGCCTTTCCTTCTCCTTACCTCATTGATCTGTTAAGGTTCAAGGACAGGGATCCATCCCTGGGGAAGTGGATCCTATGCTGGTGACCGATGCAATGTGGCACCACCACAGCTCCAGAGGAAGGGACTGGGCTGGAAGAGGAAGGGACACAAAGCAGACACAGCTTTAAAAGAACACTTTCATACATTACAAACACAAGTGCTCAAGGTTCAACTGCATATATTTTGTAATTACATAACACATCAAGCCTTGTTTTCAAAAGGCCACTGAAAATTCATCTTTTTTAATGCTAAATCACTTGATATATCAGTATTATTACTATATATTTTAACATTTTTATATCAATAAAAATTTAATATGAGAATATTTAAAATAGCAGAAAGGCTAGAGGCAACAAAAGAAAACACCTTGAAAATGTGCATAAGAAGGATTAAAAGTTACTTTCTTTTTTTAATATGACCTACTTGTGCACTAATTTTTTATCTTTAAAAAGTAGCAATTCACAAGTCACACCTCTTCATTCCCTTTCAAATCAATTTTATACACCTACACAATTCTTCTGACAGTGGATTACTGCAGGTGTACACTTAAATTTGGAGTTTCCAGTCCTGCTGTATTTTCTTGATAAAATCTATTAGTACAAGAGATTCATATTACTCTGCAACTTTCAGCAATTAACTCCTCTCTTTATGATGCACTGCAACTGAACATTTTATCCTACATATTAGTTGTACAATGGATTACTCTTCATGATGTGATCAGTCTCCTCTTCATATAGGCATATACAAACAACTATAATTTTTAATACAATCCACTATAAAAAGTATCACTCAATGTTTGCCCTTGTCTTATACTCCTCCAGAGACTTCTGCTTTTACCAACACTGGCTTTTTCTAGAGCTTTCTGCTCAGAATAAGGCAATTGTTTGTCCTTTATACCAAAGCTTGTCCTGTCTCTGTACTACAAGGAACTCACTTGGTGGAGCAGGGATTCTGAGCAATCATTATTCCCTCACTGGAATAAATCCTTGCTTTCCAACACCATTTTATTACAAGCTTTACATATTCATTTTCTTTTCCCAGGCTACAGCTTCTCCTCTAGATTTCACACCATACTAATATCTGTCTGTACTCCTATAGTTGAATTGTTTGTGCTTCATTATTTAAGTGCAGGGAATTCTAAGTAGCTGTTCCCACTTCATATGCTCTTCCCTTGAGGGGTGAACTACCCTCTGCTGTTCCCTGTCTCTCAAGGAAGAAACAACTTCCATGAAAAGGAGACGCAAAACTCCTTTCATGGCTACACACTAAAAAAGATTTTGATTTTGACTGCACATGCTGGTCCCAGAAGAATTTGCTCTGAGGTAAAATTTTAGTCCTCCATATCGCAGAAGTTCTAATATTCTCTTCCCTAAGGAGCAGACTGAGGTAAAAGCTGGGAATACGCATTTTTCTCAAAGGTTTCGCCCTAGCTCACACAATTCCTCAAAGATGTCCTTCACCAAAAATGTAGAATTCTATTCCAAAAGAGGCTTTGGATTGCTATGAGAAACAAAAAGAGTCAGTCAGGAACTCCTCAGCATCCACAGACATTTCTGTAAATTTTTAATAATATGTTGGTAATATGCATTCATAATTTTATCTGTTAATTTATTAGGAACGCTGACTAACAGTGACTAAGTACTGACTTTTTTTGATCTATATATGTTAAAAGTCAGTAACAGTGACTTTTTTTGATCTATATATGTTAAAAAAGAGTTGTCTGTATAAAATTCCCAGACTATTGAAGGACGAAAATCTAAGTATTTCGATTCAATATGAAGTAAACAGTTATTTTAAACTTGAAGTCTAACATGGCAGATGTGCATTCACTTCTACAGATAATTTTAAGTAATAAAATTCAGACTATTATTTCCTGGCTTTGTCATGTCCAGATCACAAACTTTTGTCTCTTTTTTGATCTCCATGCTTAGTCAGACATCCATTTGTAGGAATAGCAACCTCTGTTCTCCTCCCAACAAAGGGCTGGTACAGCACCCTATTCACACACCTTAATCCTTTTTACTCTCCTCATCCCTTCCAAGTAAGCCACTCCAACCAACATTCCCTGGGTACATTGCCTTCACAGAAGAAGTGGTTGCATTTTCAGCTGGAGGTGTTTCAGCAGGGAGGCACTTCTCCCAACCCTTCCCTAGATGTCGCTACAATTTCTGGCTACTTCATTACAGCCCTATTTACTAAATGGAAAACTATCATATAGGTTCCTGTTTTCTTCATATAGAAGAAACAGAAAACTGTATCTTCAGAGTGACAAAAAGATGTTTAATGTCATACTGAAACTTGAAAACAGCTTTTAACACAGGCTTGTTTTCACACTCTTTTTACTTCCCTAACACTCTGCCTACCAAGTATGTTGGCTCATTGAGTCTGGAGCTGCTTGACCTTTTCCATTACTTTGTGCTGGAACAAACTATCTCCTCAAGGATATTTCCAAGGTTTCCAGAGTCAGCTTTCATTCATACTTTGCTATTTTCTTCTCTCTCCACAAGTTTTTTCAAAGAATGCCTTTCTGCCTTTATATGATTTTGCTACCCAAAGACTCATTTATGCTACACAAATAATATAGGACACAATTCTGTGAGTTCAAGGCAGGATTCAGGCTTGTTAGTGTTTTAGCTGAATCATACTGAGTTCTGGGGACAATATCCTTGTTTCCATCCCTATTTTTCACCTCTCTGTAATTCATGTTTTGTTCCTGTGGAAATAGCCTTCAAAAAGCATACGCTGATTTCTACTTGTGAGTGAAGTTTCCATATTGTCCAGAAATATGAAGACTCTCCAGTTTATTGCAAAGACCACCAAAATATCTTCAGATTTCCTAAGTATTTCGACTCTGTTGTGCTGAAGTAGTCATTGACTGGTTGTCCACAAGATGGGGCTTCTACAACAGAGATCTTTGTATCCAAATTTAAGATTCGGATGTAAAAGCTATGAATGGCATCACAGTTGACAAGAACATATTTTCAAATTTTGGCACAGGAATGGTCCTCACAAAAGGAACTGCACTCCTCATTTCTTGTGTAAAAACGATAATCCCTCAGGAAATCAAAACAGCAGCAAGTGATTTTATCTTGCCCCTAACCCTTGCACTGTACTGGTGTACAGCTTATAAGTCAGAGGCAATATGCACATTACAATCAGCCCGTGGCTGGCACTGATTCTGTGTGGTCACCTACACCTACACGAGGTTTTGTGGAATTGTACACAGACCAAAACACCAAATGAAGTGCATGTGGCTTTGAGATGTTTTCTAAGTCAATATATAGCCTAACAGTTGAATTTCTAAACCAGTGTGCAAGTCCTCTGTTAAGATGATAACACTTCCAAATGAAAGTTAAAGAAAGTAGCTCCACAGAGTGTGTAATTTCTATAAACTTCCTATAAACTGAAAGAGGGAACAGTTTGCTGTTAACTAACTGTAGGCATGCCCTTCAAAATAAATTAAAAGAAAAATATTCTTAGACACAAAAATTTTGAAACATTAAAAAAATAGTAATAGACTTACATTACCTTCAGCTGTCTTGTTTCACTGTGTGGGAAGTGTTTGTTTAAACAGTATGTTTAAAAAAAGGCCTCTTTCCTCTTTTGTCATGTAAGTAAACAATCAAGATTTTAATGTCTTATAGGAATCTCCCAACCAAAACCAGGACAGACTAAGAGATTGCACAATTACCTTCTTGTATTCCTTGTCATAGTATTAGAGACATCAGGCAGACTTAATTTATGATCATTCCTGTTTTCTGCATGATGTAGTTGTTTTCTAGAATTTTTTGCAGGAAAGACAGTATTCCATCAAACCACAGAAGTGTTTGGGCATGCAAAAGCAAACACTGGTACAAATTTCCAGCCTGTCCCTCCCAGAGGAGGCTGTACCCACACAGATTAATGAAAAAATAAAACTGAATGTTAAGAAGAAGAAACATTTCTGGCCAGAAGGTAAAGCTGATTTCCCAGAGGCAGTCATTCACAGTCACCTAATACTTTTAGTACAAAATCTTCAATGGTTCCTTCTCACATTCCTTCTGTTCAGTCTCCAGTAACTTGTCTGCTGCAATTCAGCTGCCTAAGCTGTCACAGACCAGACTTTCAACAGGAAGTACAAAACAGCACCCTTCAGAATAATCATCTGGAGAAGCATAAAATAAGAAAATCTGAGTAGGCAGGAATTACACAGAGAAGGATAGGGAGTGACAGGCTCTCCAAACTGCAGTCAATGATGTATTATGAAAAAGGAAGGACACTAAGTTTGATAAACGGCCTTTTTGCACACACTAAATAATACTCTCTTTACTCAATGCTGAGGTTTTAACTGGAATACTCTGCCCAGCTTGGGATGCCACACTTACTGGAAAAGTGGACCAAAGAAAGAGTCTGCAGGACTCTTGAAACATATGGGAGATTTACAAATCATGATCCATAAGGAAAGACTGAAACAAAGCACCATAACAGTCTTCAGGGATTTAAAATTTCTGTAATAATACCAACAGGACACATAATGAAGAGTTTGACTTGTAGCAAGCTTACATATGAGGAGAAAATGTGAAACTGGAAGGGATTAGAACACAGTACCTGTAGCCATCATTCAGTATCCAAACAGTTTCAACGGTTTTCTGTCAAGGAATGATGAAGATGTAGATGATCTTGGGCTGGACAGAGTTGTCTGCCAGAGGGTCACACTCCATAGGTTCTCATGAATCCTTCCATGCCTCATTTGATCACTCTGTTATTGCAGAAGATCTATAGCAGCTACTTACAGATAGAAAACAGATTTTAGGCTACAGGAAAAATGGTGAAAATCAGAGAAACAGGAAGACTTAGGAGAAGGTGAACAAGAGGTGTTTTAAGTTGTGCAGCAGAATATATATTCAACTTGGACAAGGGATAAATTCTCCAATTCTGCTTCAAAGAGATACAAGAATTTTGGGTACTACCTTACTGTTGCAGCAACCTGAAGGCCTTGTGAGGAATAAACATTCTCAAAGACAAATGTCAAATTCGGATGAAACGGTATCATGTTCAACTTCATACCTCTCAGCAGTTGAGGTAATTCTGGCTTTTAGACCTGCTACTTCAAATATCTATCTTTTACCACACCTTGGGCAGAATATCCCTGAAGCTGCAGTGGCAGTACCTGATGACTAACAAACTGGCCACTGGTGAACTCTGGCTAGAGCTTGCTCCTTGCAGGTTCAGGAAGTACTTACACACAGCAAAAAGTGAAGACAGACCAACACTTCAAATAAAATTTAAAAATAAATTAAAATTTAAAAGATTAGTTAAGCCACAGATTTCTGTGTATTGACTATCCACTACTTGCTGAATGCCAGTCCCAAAGCCTGTCAGGAGGACATGTCAGCAAGTCACACACCGGCTCAAACACAACAGTTATCCTGCAGAGCTTGTGATTTCTTAGTATTCTGCTATTGGAAATGTCACCATCCATTCCATTTTCCCGATTTTTTACCTAATTTTTTCTTACTGGCATTTTCTAAGGGCATAAGAAAGAGTGAGAATCAAAACAACACAGCAATAAAGCATCTGTTGTAAATCACCTGAGAGAAACAAAACACTGTAAACCAGCCAGGAACCTTTTGGGGTTATCTCCACATAATCTACTGCAACTAAAACCATTCCTGAAACATGTGACCTAATCAGCCTTTCAAAGCCTTCAGTAAATGAGATTCCCAGATAATCATTTTCAGTGCCAAACTACTTTTGCAGTTTGAAATAATTTCCTAATGTCTACCTTAAATTTCCTACTCCAGTTCCATCACCTCTTGCCCTAGACTCACTGAACATAAAGAAATACTTTTTCCTTCTCTCTGCAGAGAAACATTTTACATTTTGGAAGATCATTACTGTTTTTCCCAATACTTTCATTTTCTTTAAACTAAACAACCCCAATTCTTTCAGCCTTTCCTCTTAGATCATGTTTTATAGGTCTCTGATCATTCTTGAAGTTGAGACTGTGGTAACACACGGTACACAGAGAAAAAGGAAAATGAACTCCTACACAGAATTCACCAGGAAGCTGAGTGACACAGGATTTGTTTGAAGAGGTTACTTTTTTATGATAACTGTTTGCTTTGTTGTTTGGGTTTTTTTAGTGCCAAAATACATGTCCTTTTTCTTCTTTGTGACATACAGTGTAGGTGCCCCAGTGCACACAATAGCTAGGCATTATACTCCTTGCTGAAAAAAAACATGCTGGATCTGGGCAAAAGAGTTACTATGGAAGGCAAGTTATTTTTGCCAATAATGGAAAACTTATCCTTACCAATATAGTATCTTCAGGATAAATTAATTTAAGTGGTACTTGTGATACCAGGATAATTTAAGCAGAAGTTTAAGTAATTTTCAGAAACATGAGCAAAATCCTGCATCACAACATGCATTTCAGGGAAATATATTAGTTCCATAATTGCTTTCTAGAGCTGCAATCATTCTCCCGCAGAAAACAATATACAGTTGTAATATATACTGAGAAATGGCTCTATGGTTCAGCTAAAATGAACAAAACTAAAAACAATCATGTGTATTTTAGAAGATGCTATGTTCTTTATAATAAGATAAATTAATTCCATCATTCCCATAACCTGATTCACATATATAATAAAAGAATGTGATTTAATTCCATTCTTCAGAGGTATACAAGGTCTTTTTTTTTCCAGAAAAAGGTTTTAAAATAGTACTGTGTCCCACTAACATTACCTGAGCAAACAGAGCTATCTCTGAACCTCTGGGTACTATGGCATGGAGAGATCACTCAGAAGTTAACTGGGCTTCTGTATATGAATTGGGAAAACAATCTTATCCAGAAGAAAGATAAGACATAATAAGAGACTATAAGTGCCAGGAAAATAAGCTTGATGGAAAAGAAGTGAAAAAACTTTTCCATGCTGAAGACAGAAAAGGTCTTTCAAAAACTTTTACTGAGCATGACACATTAAATATATCCAAAATGTTGTCCAACAATAACATGACCATGGATCATGTAAAATGATGTCATTAAATGGTCTTTTATCTATAAATTAGGCAATTTATGATGTCAGTTTTGCAGAGAAACTATTGGGGTTTTACGTTCTCAGTGGATTTTAGATTTTTAACTCGAAAGGGATTTCTTAGTAAGATAGTTCCTCATCTCTGGCTAGCTCATACAAGCCTTAGGAATACAGCGTTATATAACTTGTCTCTCCTCATATCAAAAACCTACAAAATAAAACAAACTTTGCCTGCATACTTTAAAAACATTTTTCTTGAATTTCCATTTTGTTTTGAAAAATAGATTTCACTTAGAAGACGCTGGCTGCCAAAAAGTGGTTACAACTGACCTATGCGTGACATGGTCATATCGAGATGTGCCAGAACATGAACTCTGTACCCTGGCAAATTTCAGACTATCCCCATTTCTATTCTGACAACAGATTACAGCCAACTGTTTAAATGTTTACAGGTGAGAAAAAGTTTCATTGACTTAGGTTGCCAGGTTGATATTAGTTTGACACAAATTTTTGTATTTGCCTTCATCTTTTCTACGTGTAGTATCTATGCAGCCCTTCACCACTACATGAATCTTTCCTTCTTTATAGGATCATATTATGGCTCTAGAAACCCCAGTCTGATAACTACTTGTTCCCCAAACTAAGGAGAGGAAGTAAAAACCAGAGAGAACTGAAGCAATCAGTTAAACTGTCCCATGGTTCCGCCAGAACAAGGAAACTGTGCTCATAAATCACATCCTCTGATAAAAAACAACCATAAAGACTACTTGTGAGCTTCCAAATCTGTATGGAACAAGGACCTCCTGCAGCGTGGACAGCTCATAAACCAGGATCTGTTTTGGTTTGGCCTATACTCTGTTTGGTCCACAGTCACCTCTACTGTTCTGCACATGCAAGGATCTGTATCTGTTTCCACAAAAGCAGATCCTTCTAAACAGCCTCTGTGCTTACCAATATTATCTACAAAGAGCAGGTACAGTGAAGTCTGCCAGGTCTGTTCAATCTCCTTCAACTCAGGAATGGTGAAAACATCTCATGTGTTCTCTGGACAAAAGACTCCCATCAACAGCTTATTGAGCAATAAGGACAACTGAACTCTACCTTGACAAGCTCTTCAGCTGCTTTCTTGTCCCCAGCCTGCAAAAGAGGGTATCAAAAGGAGTAGGCTCACAGCCACACCATAGCATACGCAGGGATATTTAAAAACAACATTTTTGAATGCAAGAATGTTTCCATTTTCCATTTTCTGGATAGCTGTACAACTTTTGAGCTGGTGATGCAAAGCCATTATTAACAACCTACCTGACATAACAGGAGTGAACGGCCTAGAAAACCAGTGGCTTCAACCATCCCTGCTTCCAAGAATCCAGGCATGACTGGTAGTAGCTCTTTCTCATTCAGAGCTCTCACAGGTGCAGTCTGTTGTATTGCAAAGACAAATGTGAACTGCTGCTTCCTCCTTGGTCTCTGTGAATCCGCCATGAAAAGAAGATCTCTTCTGGCATTTAACAAGTCTGCATTTTTTAAACGTGCCCAGATTTCGAGTGAACAGCCTGTACCTACCAATGGGAAAGTTTTAACTGGGTTTAGCAGTTATTCCTTTTGGAGATCTGCCTCAAGGTAAATAAATGCAACGTCTATACCATGGGACCCAGAGCATATCCCATCTATGTCCTGACTGTGTATTTGGATGAGACCAGGGACCTATGTTTGCACTCTGGTTTCCAAAGAAAGGAAATCTCGGCATGTCAGCCAGCAGGGAGGCACCATATGCTCCCACAGGACCTCCTCAGATCAGGACTCCAAGCCACAGTGGGGCACATGCCTGTGGTCTACACTGAGCTACACCAATGACACAGGCCAAAGCCTCACAGAGAGAACAAAATATGAAATGTCATCTGAAATAAAGAAGTCTTTCTAGTGGCCCATAATCTCATTCCCAATGTTGCCACTGCACAACTGAAAATACCAACTGAAAATACAACTGAAAATAGCACTGGATTTTCACCACCAGGTTCTCACAGCAAACACTTCTGACATTGCCTTAACCTTGAAACCAGGACTGGGTGAGGCTGAATCCTCTCCAACAACTGCTTGCCCAATTCTGTTAAACCAAGCCAGCAGACTCATAGGATAAACACGCAAATGAGCAAGTAATGTAAAACAGTCATTATTTACAGCAACGCGCCATTGCAAAGCCTCTTTATCTTGAGCAACACTCACAATTCCTGCACCATTTTCAGTTTCAGTTTCCTAGAAAAGCCTGAAACTGTGTTGGAACACCATAAATGGCAGCAATGACAGATTTTGCACTGTGGTTGTTTAGCTAATCCGTTGATAAGCAGCAAAACAAAACTCCCTAAGCAGCAAGAAAATGAAATCTCCAAGAAAGAACTTATATGGGTAATCAGCAAAAAGTCTGTTCCCAGACTGACGTCCACCAGCAAAGATTGTGGAGCCAAACTCATCACTGTGAGTAGATACTCTGACCCAGACAGGAGGTCTGGTGCAAAGCAGGGCTGACCTGTATCAGCAGAGAACTTGCTGATAAGAAGCAGCCACACGGTACAGCTTTACAGACAGAACCTTCCAGCTGGTCTGTACCAAATTTGCTTCACTTTAAAAAATACTTCAGTTTAAAAAACGGATTTTAAAATATTTCCCATGGCATGGATCTGGAAGCCAAAGAAGGATTTTGAAGAACCATCACAGATGATAAAGCTGGAAAGAACATTTATAGGATCATCCTGTAAGGCAGTGCCATTCCCCTCTGTGTGGGTCAGGGCTGGCACACCAACAGTGACATAGGGGCATTCGCTTTCCTGAAACGTGCATTTATCTGTACTTACCTATATTTATATGCAAGTGTGAATACATTTTTTCAGAAAGAAAAGGAGCTAAATACATGGTTTATATTAGTATCTGCTAATCACGTAAAAAGCCTCTAGAAACGTAAAAGCGAGACAAGTGACAGCCGCTGGTTTTGCTCCACACTGGGGCTCAGTGCCCTGTCCCTACACTGGCCTGTGCCCACTGGGGTCACGCCAGCGATCAGCACAGGGATTCCCTGCCCGAGAACCCACTCGCGGGGGAACCCTTGGGAAGGTCCCTCGGCCTCGCACAGCCCACCCCCAGCCGGGGCGGGCCGGGTGGTGCGGGAGGTCCCCGCGGCCGCCACGGAGGAGCCGCCCCGCTCCGCCTTGTCCTGTGTTTTCCCGTCCTGTCCCGTCCCGCCGGGCCCGAGCGGCCGCTGGCTCCGCCATGGCCGGAACACAAACAAACACCGCGCTCGGGGGCGGGGCGAAGCGGCTCCCACCATTTTGGGGCCGGGGGAGCCCAGCGGGCGGCCGGGTTCCCTCACTTCCCTCCCGCCTCGTCCCGCCGGGGGCGGGCAGGGCTGTCCCCGCCGGGGGCCGGGCGGGGGGCGCGGAGCGGAGCGGAGCGGGGGCCCCGCGGCTGCTCCCGGGGCCCGGCGGGGAGGGGTGAGAGGAGGAGCCAGGGCGGCCCGTGCGACAAAGCCCAGTGCGCAGGGAGCTGGTGACCGGGAAGCAGAACCGCGCCGAGCTGTCGCGGGGCGGGCGGACCCTCTGGAGCCCGCTGCCCCACGGGGGGTGGGAGGCCCGTCCTGCCGCCCCCCCGGCTCGGGGGTCGGGGCGGCTGCGGAGCGGAGCGGGAGGCGGCCGAGCGGTGCTGCTAAGCCGCTTAGGGCCGGGGCTGGCATGAGCCTCCCCGGCGGGGCGGCTGCGGGCTGTGCGCTGCGGCGGGGAGGCTGAGGGCGCGGATCCGCCGCCGCCGGCGCGGGGGGAGGCGGAGGGGGGGCCGCGCTCCCCGGGGGAAGATGGGGAACTGCCTCAAGTCCCCCACCTCGGATGACATCTCGCTGCTCCACGAGTCCCAGTCGGACCGAGCCAGCTACGGGGACGGGGCTGAGCCGGATCAGGAGCCGCCGCCGCCATATCAGGTAGGGCAGGGGTGCCGGGGCACGGCGGGGGGCGCGGGGCCGCTCTCCCCCGGCGGGGGCCGGACCGCGGCGCGGCGGGGCCGTCGTCTCCCCGCCGCCTCCCCTCCAGCGCTGGGCGGCCCGAACCTCTCCCTTTCCGCCCGCACGTAGCGCGGGGGAAGGCGCTTTGTCTCGGCCGCTCCGGCCGCTCCGGGCGGGCGGGAGGCGCAGGGCAGGGGCCGCCCGGCCGGGGCCGCGTCCTTTGTTGCCGCCGGCGGTGACATCACCGTCTGGCGCGGGGGACGCCCGGGGACGGGACCGCGGGCCCTGCCCGGGCTTTGTCCGGGCCCGCTCGCTCCGCTCCCGTATTTTTAGCTGCATCTGATCCCCAGTAACTCACTCCCCCAGCGCCGGGGATCTTGTTTCCCTCCGTCCTGTGGAGCACGGGAGGGGAAGTGTTTCCCATTGTTCGGGTTTTTTTTTTGTCTCAGAGAGAATCTGTTAATTTACATCTTAGTGACGAATCAGGGAGAAAGAAGAGAAAGGCCGGGTATCTGCTTTGCTGACAGCTGAGGGTAACGCTGATGTGGAGGGGGGATGGCGTTGGTGTGAAAGCGCCTGGAAGGGATGGACACGGAGAGGGAACCTGAACTTGGGATTGCACTTGTCTGCTCCCTTTGATCTCCACCTACAGAAATGTGTATTGACCTGAACGAGCCGTCTACAGCGCTGAAAAATGAAAACCATCCCGTGATATAACTGCACATTCTGTTCGAGTTTTGAGAAGTATTTTCCTGTGTGGGATAATAGCACACATTCCAGAGAAATCCATAGAAACGACAGTCAAGACGTAAATTCTGGGGGGGTGACTCGGGAGCTGTACGTTTTCTAGGATGGGAGTCACTCCGTAGTTGCAGACCCTGATGTATAATTAACAAAATTGCAGGAAGTATTTAGCCGGACAGACGTGATACTTCAGCAAGTTCAAGAATTACACCCTGATAGGAGCCCCGTAAGTGTTGAAGAGAAGCCCGACATGTAGCAGCCCTTGCTGGTGCCCTGAAGCTGCACTGGTGTGTCTTGGCAGTGTGTCCCTATTTGTTTTGTGCTGAATATTAGAATAAATTCTGTGATGTGAGGAATTTTTTTCTCTCTTCTAAACTGCTGCTGCTGAAGTCCAGTGAATAAAAAGTGCTTGCTGGCAGATATAAGTTTTTTTTAAAGCTTATGTGGTTCTAAATTACACCTGAATTGTCCATGAGGTTTAGGAATGCATTGAATTTTTGTCAAATCAGCATAAAAAAGTTTGTGCAATTTATTGCATTTATATCTGTGATTCTAGGAAGACTTATGGAGTTTTTTGGGGTTTTTTCTCCCTTTGAAAACAATTTGTTAGCTCTTGTAAGAGTCACAAATCAAGCATATGCCTTATGCAGGCCTTCTTGTGTGGATGTCAGTGTAGGTAATGAATCTTCCTCTGTCGTCAGAGGTCTTTAAAATTTTTTCTTGATGAAGAACTTGTTCATAAGTGTGGATGGTTGACTGAGAACACGATAAAGAGTAAAATAAATGAACCTACAGGTGTCTACTCTCGAGTAAGTGTATTCATAGCAAAACTTCCCTCACTTGAATAGAGCTGTGTAGCATCAGGTGATGTGCCCACAGGCACTTGCTGTCTCAGACATTGCTGGCTGTCTTGAAAGCTCCTCCACTGATCCTAGCAGTTCCTAAAGCTTTACCTTAAAGGTAGCATTTCGTGTCTCACAGTCAAAGCCAAAGGTACCCTTTCCACAGATTTCGAACTGCCATGGTTAGTGATTTTTAAAAAAAGAAGAAAAAAAAATACCTACAGTATTATGCAGTGTTTCATGCACTTTGAGTTTGAGGGGATTTATGATTTTAAATTGTTTACTGTTTACAAGATGTGCAAAAACTCCAAATATGAAAAATTCCTGATGCTCCATCATTGCTGTGGTGCTGGCCATAGGTCACTCATTTTTACTTTCAAGTGGCAGCTTAGATTCAGTGTTAGAAATGGGAATTTAGGAGTTCTGTCCTTGTTTTGGATAATTGGTGCTTTTACAGTGTCTTATCCAGAATTAGTGTATAATATATAGACATTAGGAGTGAAAGAAAGGAAGAGTATAAAACAAACTTGAAAACTTGCTTGTGGTAACTAGCCTCAAGAAACTGGAAGGTGAACAGTTTTAAAGCTAGCTGCTGAAAAGTCTGCTGTAAAATGGACATCATTTAGAAGGGACTAAAAACTGGTATGTTTGCTTCTCTTGGGTTTGCAGCAAGGATGTGTCAACTTCCTGAATAGCTCTTGCAGGGTTTGCAAACTAAAGGAGACTTGTTGAGTGAAGAAACACAGTTGTAGAAGATGACTTCTGTGTCTCTTGTAACTAACTTCTGTATTATTTTGACATTTAAAATACTTTTTCACGTCCTGCCATGATTTTTATTTAGCTGCTGATTTGCAGCTGCAAAATGCACCCTCGATAATAATTTCAGTACTGCATGTCAAATTTCTTTAATCAGTGAGTGCTGTTGAACTGGCTGTGTAAAATGCCTGCTTCCAAAAGTGAGATAGAAGATTGGGCTGACAGTATGGATACACAGAATAACGGGGAATAACTTCTTTTTGGAGGCTCTGCCAATACCTGTCTCTTGGTTTCTGTGGCAGTACGTGTTATAAGCTACAGCAGAAATGCCTCAGAGAGGAAGCATCTTTTTAAACAGGTGTCTGAGTTAATGAGAAAGTGGCCCATTAATGCATCAGATATTTTCCAGTGCATTGAGCTTAACAGCTAACATGGGAAATAATTAAAACACACCAAAAAAAGAGTGTGTTTTTATGGTGGGGGGGAAAGGAAGTGATTTCAAGAGTGGACCAACATTTTCGTAGACGGTTGCTAATTTTGAATGCCTCCATTTTAGAACCCAAAAATTACAACTGTTTTTCTAAGTGCTAAGAACATGCAGCTCCATTTTTAACCAGTGAATCTGTGATTAGGAAAGAGTTAGCTTTGGTTTTATTTTTTCTCAAGTCGTCAAAATTGAGTATGCTTTCAAGTTTGTTTTCCTTTTCAGTGTATGAGTTCTTCACCATCTGTTGGCAATATGCCTTCTGCTGTTTTTCCATACAAGTTTAATGTTTTTTCCTAGTTTCTCTTACTTTTAGTAGTTCTTCTCAAAGGCTTTATTTTGCAGAACAGATGTGTCCCTTTTCTTAATCCTTGTCTCCGGTTTCTGTTCTTAAATTGTTCCCTAATAGCTGCAGGAAATAATTTGCCAGTTTATTACATTTTGAAATTTTTACACAGTAAAGTAGATGCTTTACATCTTTTCTCCCGAAGTTTCTAAAACTGTGGACAAAATACACCGCAGTCTTCTAAAAAAATGTTTAGCACTTGCTAAATTAATAAGTTGACAGCATGAGAGATAAGCACAAGTTCTTGGTGTTGATACTAAACTCATAAAAGCACATTTGATATGTTGATGTGGCAGATAGATTCATAATATATTTTTTACCCCTTTACCTGAAGAGATAGAGAGCACCCCCCTTACTCAGTACTTTCCTGTGTTTTACAGGCTCAGATAAAATGCTTCAGTGGATCTAGTGGATTTTTTTTTTTTTTATTTGGAGGGATTAATTTAAAACCTTTTGGCCTGGATACTCATTTGATTAGGCTGTAGGCACAAAATGAGACGAGAGATCACAAACATGAGCTTAACCCAGTGCTGTGCTCCCATAATCTTCCAAAAGCTGTTGGGGACAGCAGGTTTTGAGAGTGCAATTTAGGGATGTCTCATGGCTTCTCTGCAACTGAGGTTGCTGCAATAGCCTCCCTGTGCCTCCTCTGTTAACTGAGTGTCACCTGAACACACTGTACATGTGTCCCCATTCACCTGTCTTGTGCTTCATTCCAGCTGTCCCCCATTCGGGGAGGTGGCACATCAACCTGTCATGACAGTGCTCTGGAGATGCTGAAGAAGTCCTCAGTCTGAATAGTCAGAGAATTTCCTTGAAATAGTCCACCGCATTTCTGTGTGAAACTTGCCCCGTGGATGGATGTATTGGTTGTCTTTTGCTCAACAGAGAAGCTTTTGTTATGCTCTCACCGCGACTTAAGTAATATGTTACATCGGTGTTCCGATGCTGTCTTTTCAAAGGCATGGCAATTAATATAATTAAAAGTTGCGAGCCAGATTAATTCTGATCTAGGAGTTGCACCCATTTATAGAAACATCTGTACAAAAATTCTCTTGGGCCCCAGCTGAGATGATTTATCGTCTGTGATTGTGTGTATTGTATAAGAAGCAAGACTGTGGTAGTGTAAAGTTACAGTCTTGACATGGAGTGGTTGTGTGAAGCTGGAACTGTTAGTGTATGTTGGAACAGCTTAAAAGGGGGAAAGATGCCATGGGAAAACATTACATACAGAAAGATATCCATGAAAAAAAGCAAACCCACTTGTAAGTCTACGTTCATAGAAGTGAAAGGAGTGTA